AACGCTGACTTCTAAACGATAGAAGACACAGAGGTTTCTTGCGTAAGGTTAACTTGACAGAGGAGGCAGGGGATTAGACACAAAGGCTTTCCAATATGTTATGAGGAATAGCCTCACCTTCCTTCTTCTTCTTCTTCTGTCTTTAGATTCAATCTAGATTACTTTTCCTGGACTGGCATCATGACCTCTATGACCATCGTAACATCACACACCTGTTAATCCCTATTCAACTCCATTTCAAACAACAGGTGTTATCTACAAGGGCTATGATAGACTCAGGGGCAACAGGCAACTTTATATCTCAAGGTATTGTAAAGAATACTATATTGAGTTGAGCACGAAGCTCCTATCTAAGGCAATACTATCTACTTATATAGTGGCGTCGTGCCTCATGGGTAATCTGGATAGTTGGCGGATAGCTAGATATTCAGGATAGTTCGTGGATAGCTCAACTATCCAATATCCACTAGTTTCTACAACTATCCATTAGCCCTGTCACATGGCAGCCTACCCCGCTTGCCCCCTGTGACTCACACATCACGTTACTAGGCCCTGGCCCTGTAACCATGATGTCATGTTACTGTAGCCATAATACAGTGGTTCTTCTCTGCGAATACAAAAGGCTGGACAAGCAACCTGTTGAGTAAATTTTCTTCTCCCTTCCAGGCCTTCAGCCGTAAGGGCAGAGTTTTTCTGTGGTTCTACCTGTGGTCGCTTACTGTAGCCCCTGTATATTATAACACAACCTCCATGGGTTGGAGTGGTTAAAATGCATCTTCGAACCAACAACACGTGCAAAAGCAGATGGTCAGCACCAGCTTCTTATATGCGACTGCCACGACTCACACATTAGCAGGAGTTTCATTGCGCATTGCATGCAGAACCATATTGTATTACTGATACTTCCCCCTCATACATCGCACTTGCTACAACCACTGGATGTTGCGATATTCAGCCCCCTAAAAAAGCGTCTAACAGCAGCACTCTCCCCACTCAACCAAGCACAACTTGCATGCATAACGTAAGTCGTGGGGATAGCGGCTACATGGGGATTGCCCATCTGTTGGTGGAAGGCCCGAAATATTGCGACCGCGCGCAAATCGTGCGGTGTGTTTGGTGACCAGACCTTTGGGCTTTTGCGCAACGGGCAGGAAAACTCGACAATAGACTACAGTATATAGAATGAATAGATCAATTGAATTACTACACTACCTACGGAGCCTACGTATTATTTATGTCTTTTCGGAGGGCCTACCCAAATGCCCTGAGTAACAGAAGGGTTTGGGCCTGAAACCCAATGCGCCGGAGTTCTGAGGCAATCTGCTCACGCCAAGCGCCAATCGGGGAGCCCGACGATTGCACTGGGGAAAAGCTCCCATTCTCTTTCCCTCAACACCATCCCACCAAAACCATGGTCATGTGACCAGGTTTTAAACCTTAATATCTTTTGCAATGTTGCTTATAAAGTTTAATCCTTTTAGGCTATTACTCTTTATATCTTTATACATTATAGTTCATTTTTCTAGAGCATAAGCTGTTCTTATTAAATAGTTATTTATAGTATAATTTTTACCATACAAATAATTATATGGTAAAAATATAAACCTTAATATCTCTTGTAAAACAGAGCTAGCACTGTTAGCATTTTTACACACGTTAGATTATTATATGAAGAAAAAATAGTCTAAGAGGATTAAACTGTATAAGCAGCATTACAAAAGATATTAAGGTTTAAATGTTGGTCATGTGACCATGGTTTTGGTGGGGTGGGCAAAGTAGCCGCTATCCCCATGTAGCCGCTATCCCCACGACTTACATTACAGAAGTATGAATGGATGGAGGCATACATCCAGGCACGGCTTGATATATGCAACCATCAGAACATTGAGTCAGCATACTGTGGCGCTGGCTTGTTTCCTTTTAATCCCCAGCGAGCATTGCGTACACTACTCAATGATGAACAATCAGTCGAACCTGACTGACCAAAAACACCACATCAGTATGATATTTTGACCGAGTCTTTATCAACAGCTCCCCCCCAGATGGGATGACCTTACGCTCTGCAAATGCGCTCCTTACAACTACGATTAATGGTGGTGGGGTGCTGTCAACACCAGTGCAGACGTACGTCCAAAAACTCACAGTTGCATCAGAGCAACTTTGAGCATGTAGCATTGTCCACCAACTCGTTGCCAACAACCTGCGATCAGTTATAAAGTGACGTATGGTACGTACGAAAGGGAAAAGGATTATTCTGAAGGGTCACTTTCATGTTTCTACGCAAGAATTGTGTGATGCGGTAATGGAGGCAGAAAAGGCGACACATAACCCAAGTAAGAAAAAGTGCAAAACAAAGGATAAGCACGCCTCCTCAGACATTTAAATTGATGAGTATATTGAGGAAGAAGCAGGGGAACAATCTGAAAGTGACGGTGGATCATGTATTATCATTGATTGTAGTTAAATTTATAGATTTGTTATGTTCTCTTCGAAATTCCACCACGTCATGCCATCCCCCGCGTTACGCCATGACTTACATTATGTGCGTACAGTAATCCATAACGTCTTTGCCAGCAACTGTCACCTTCATATCCATACCGTTGGCAAAACCAGAGTGCATACATGCAATCCCAAAATATAGAGCCTCAAAGTATACTTGTGCGGCCCAAAAGTCTTAAGGATGGTATGTCGTAGCTGGGGATCGATACTAGCAATCATTGCCCAAGGTGATGGAGACTTGCAGTTGTTGCTGCAAACATAGGCGATTATGCAGAATCCTTGACTAGACTTTTGGCTACTACGATTGCTCTAATCGTTGGTTCTCAAACCACTGCCTGGAGGACTGGGACACGAAAGCGATTATGGGACACTTCGGGAGCGGACTCGCGACGCGACACGACCAACCATTAACACGACCGACAACAAGCACAACTACAACCACAACTATGCAGTAGTTGAAATAAATAAAAATGAAGCTCTTTTAAATGCCATTGAATTTTTAAATGAAAACCCAACAGAGAAGAGTGCTACAGTAGCACGGATGTACAGAGTAAACCCAAGTACACTCCGGACTATATGACTACGACAATGATGCGCATTACCACAATGCACCGCTGTGCCACGCAGGGGCCAGAACAGACTACTGTCTGATCTACAAGTTACAGCTATACAAAGATACATCCAACGCTCGTATGAAAATGGGTACGGTGCAACTAAGCCTATGGTGTTCATGCCATCTGCCAACTACATGCAGCAGAAACTCCAACGCGTGTACCACCATCACAAAGGTGGTTCCAGACATGGATTAAGACACAACAACACAACTTCCATACAATAAAAACCCAGCCAATTGAAGCAGCACGGGTTGCATCTCATGAAGTATCAGCTATTAAAGAATGGTTTGATGAATTCAAAGATGAGTGTAATCAACTAGATATTACTGCAGGTGAAACAACTTTGATGAAGTTGGATTCTGTGTAGGAATAGCACTGATGAACATGTGTTGGTACCATCTACAGTAAAGGAGGTAAGTTGTTTCTACTTATCCTACTTTATATTATTCTAATATTTATAGCTTTATATACAAGCTCCAGAGAACAGACAAAGTCTTACAGTTATAGAGACAATTTCAGCTGCTGGCACTTCCACCGTTCCTTATTATACAAGGAAAATTACACATGGAAAGTTGGTACCATGACAATCTACACGGTGATGAGAAAGTTGCAGTATCCGATTCCGGATATACAACCTATGAGCTTGCAATGGAATATCTACAGCATTTTATTCAACATACACCGTCTATAAGAACAAAATTGTTAATAATGGACTCTCATATCTCACATGAAGTTCCAGAGTTTATAATACTTGCACATCAACACAATATACACTTACATGTGTTTCTGTCTCATCTTACACATATTCTACAACCGCTAGATGTTACTGTGTTTGCACAATATAAACATTGGCACCGACGTGCAATTCAACAAGCAATCCGGAATTTTGATACAGATTATAATGTTATATCTTTCTTTAGAGACTTGTCTACTATCCGTAAGCAGACATTTACAAAGGGTAACTGTATGAAATCTTTTAGAGACGCAGGTATTTGGCCACCTAACTATGAAAAGATTCAAGAGAAGGTTGCTATATATGCAAAACCAGAAGTTTTAGAAACACCACAATGCTTATTTCAAGCAAGTTATGATCTTTCAACATGGAGTCAAACATTTGATAAGATCCTTAGTTCACCGTCACGGCAAAAGTGGGCGTCTTCTTATACTGAAATCCAAACTCAGTTAACAGAGGCTGAGCTGTTCCGGTCAGAGCTTGTACAAATTACTACTATTATGACTGAGCAATGACAGCGGAAGGTTAGAAGTCAGAAATCTATTCAAAAAGGTGGTGCTATTACAGTTGAACATGCACGGCAAAGGATTGAGAAGAAGGTAAAGGAGCAATTTTAGAAGAAGCACAGGAGAAAAGAGAGAGAACACGCATGGTGAATGTTGAGCGTAAGATGCAGCTCCGTGCTGGCATCGATGCACGGAAGGCAGAACGTACACAGAAAAAGGACCTACATGAATTTCAAAAAAGTAACCCAGACATGGAGCCACCAATTGGCTTACGTACAGAAATCATTGACCCGGACGTTACACAGAAGAAACGTAAGGAGAAGGAGGAGGAGGACCGACTGTTAGCCATCGAGGAGAGTGGGTACGTGAACTTTGCAGGCTTGGACTATGACATGGTTCACGATGCAAGTGACGGTGGCAGTGATGATCAGTCACTACCTGACAATATTGATCCAAATCTTTTTTAATTATTTAATTCTATAATTTATATATATTTACAGCATTGTTACGTTGTCGTGTTCATGGTCGGTCGTGTCGCATCGCGAGTCCGCTCCCGAAGTGTCCCATAATCGCTTTCGCGTCCCAGTTCGCTTTCGCCAACCGCCTCCAGGCAGTGGTTTCTGAACCAACGATTACTTTCTAATAATTTTACAATCCCTTCGTGACCATGGTAGATAGCGGCGTCATTCCGGCATCGTTAGCAGCGTTGATATCGATATTGGGGGCGGTAAGCAGCTGTGCTACAACTTCTTGATGCCCCATATGCAGCCATGAGGAGCGGTGTTGTGCCGCCCTTGTCTGTAGATTGACATTGATGCCGGGGGCAGTGATCAACTGGCCTACAACCGCCTCATGCCCGGCATATGCAGCCTGCCAAAGCGGCGATGAGCCCATCTCATCAGCAGCATTGATGTCGATGATAGGGGCACCAAGCAGCGTCTGGCCGCACTTGTCTAAAGTATTGATGTTTGTAAGGAAAAGCGGGCAGCTGGCTTACGGCTGCCTGATTCCCTTCATCTACAGCCCAGTGAAGTGGTGTTGAGCCGTACTTGTCCCTAACATTGACTTTAATGCTAAGGGTGGCTAGTAGCTGGCTGATGATCGCATCATGCCCGTGAACTATAGCACACCAGAGTGGTATATGGCCATTCTTATCTGCAGAGTTAACGTCAATGTTAGGGGCAGTAAGTAGTTGACTTACGACCCCCTTATGTCCCTTATCTACAGCAAACATGAGTGGCGCCTGGCTATTCACATTAGTACCATTAACGTTAATACTAGGGATAGCGAGCAGCTGCCTAACGACCCCATCATGCCCCCCAATTGCTGCACCCAAGAGTGGTGCTTGGCCGTACTTGTCAGCAGCATTGACGTCAATACCAGGGAAAGCAAGCAGCTGGCCTATGATAGCCTCATTCCCATTAAATGCAGCAATATAGAGTGGCGTGAAGCCTTCCTTGTCAGCAGCATTGACGTTAATACCAGGGGCAGTGAGAAGCTGGGCTACAATTGCCTCATAACTGCAATGTAGAGCTTGCCAGAGTGGCATTTGTCCGTCCTTGTTCGCAGCATTGACATTGATACCAGGGGCAGCAAGCAGCTGGCCTACAACCCCATCGTGCCCCTCACTTGCAGCAACAAAGAGAGGCGTTTGTCCGTCCTTATTGACCGCATTGACGTTGATACCTGGAACAGCGAGCAGCTGGCCTATGACTTCCTCATAACCCCATTTTGCAGCGGACAAGAGCGGCATTTCGCCGTTCTTGGTTGGAGTATTAACAGCATTGGCATTAATACTTGGGGCAGCGAGCAGCTTCCTTACGGTCCCTTTCTGGCCCCTACTTGCAGCAAGCAAGAGCGCTGTTGCGCCGTTCTTGCTAGCAGCATTAACGTCAATACCAGGGGCAGCAAGCAGCTGGTCTAGAATTTTCTCACTCCCCTTAATTGCAGCACAAGTGAGCGCCATCATAACTTCCGTAGTAGCAATGTTGACTTTAGTTCCAGGGGCAGCAATGCCGTACGCCCCATTCTTACAGCCTGCCAGAGCGGCGTTATGCCATCCGCACTTTCAGCGTTAATATCAATGTTAGGGGCAGCAAGAAGCTGGGCTACAACTGCCTCATGACCGCGATCTGCAGCCTTCCAGAGCGTCGACACGGCGTTTTCAAAGGTGCCACTCCATCTCACCCAGTTGGGGTTGCGGCGGTTATTAGCGACATTAACATCAATACCAGGGGCAGCACAGCTGGCATAACAAATTTTCAAGCCTTAAGATTGAAACAACCTGGAGAATATTATATCCATCAACAGGAAAACCAGATCTACTTCTTCCCTCATGTTTTGCCTTAAATCTCACGTGCAAGTCATCGAGTCGTTGGAACCACATGCACATAGACGCAAGAAGGAAGTTTGAGTCATGTATAGTGACTGAGTTCTTCCAAATTTCGTCAGACTGAAGATGCAACATCGACGGATTGTGGTCTTCTTTTGCCATTAAAAACTCCTTAGCAGTCTGGTGGAGCAAAAAGACTCTTCCATCAATGACGCTCACGAATAGGCCACATAGGTTTCTGAGATACGTTTTTGAGAACCCATCTGGTGGTATTTCTAGGTCGTCATATGTCTTATGGTTCTCTTGAATCAAAAGTGCGGTGGTTATCTCCATCGTAGATAGGGGTCGAATTGCGGCACAAACAATCTTTAAAAGCTTTCTTGCCTGATCCTTGTTTGAGCTTTTGTTCAGGATAGCTGTGCTGTGTACGCGGTATCAACCGACTTTGGGATTGTGCGGAATAGCTTCTCTCTTTCTGTGCTTGTCATGACAGATTGGAGATCTTGGCGGATGAGATCAAAAATTAGCATCAGCCATAGGTACGTCCTGTTCTCGACCTTGGTAAATTCGTCCCGTAAAATGCGGACAGTCTTTGGGTTCATGGGGAATTCCAGCTGGATTTTTTCGATCTCATGCTCTATCACGAGTCCAGTCTCGTAAAGTATCTCATCCGTGTGTTTTTCACCTGCAAGGCGAATCGCTAGTGTTACAATGGTCACGGAGGTCAAGAAGCCAGTCCAGAGAATAATAAGCTAGATTGAATCTAAAGAGAGAAGAAGAAGAAGAAGGAAGGAAGGTGAGGCTACTCCTCGTAATATACAGTTGTCCGCTTAGCGGTTGTAGCCTTGGTGGCTAAGGCTGCACCCGTAACAACCGTAACAACTGTAACAACCGTAAGCTATAATCGTAACAGCTAGTATCTTCTGGCTAAGGACACTGAATTCTTTTTCAATATGCTGAAGCGGACGACTTGTCAAGAGGAATTTCAAGCCGTATTACCTGAAATGCGAGATCGAGATCGAGCAAAGTTTTTTGAAGCAGGGTTTTCAACTCAGAATTCCTGCATTCGTCAAGTGCATCTAGGATGCAAACGATTTCTCCTGCTTGCGGGTCTTCAGCGGCTGTAATTAGGATCTGTGTAATGATGTACGGTTACGCTCACGCTACATCCCACTGAGCCAAAAAGACTACAGTATTCCGGCTCCCGGAATACGCGTAACACGCTTTATATACCACATGTACTGTAACGGCGGCACCCGTTACATACCCCCAGTTAGCAAGATCGGAGCCAGCATGAGGCGTACCCATAAATATGATACCCCATGTAGACCGGAAGACCTTCTCAAGGTGTTTTTCGCCTTCCCCACAGTACAGCAGCGCTTGTTCGCAAACAAGCCCCCCAAGACTGTGGGCGATGAAAATGATGGGCCGTTCTCTGCACTCCCTTCGTCGATCTGACACCCCAAATGCCAGGCTCTTTCCATGGTTCCTAAGATTATTGCCACCTGCCATACCCCATATCTTGATAACATCGCCATCGTAGCCATATTTCATGATACGTGCGGTATCTAGGGCCAGCTGCTCGGGCCAGAAGACGCCGTTCTCATGGGTCCACGACGTCTCTCGATTGCCTGTGAGACCATCTATAACATACTACATGTACGGACACTATACTTTTAAGGGGCGTCGTCAGCAAACTTTATATTAAATGTTAACCAGCTCATTGAAAGGCACCCTAGGTGACTAAGAGCCTATAATTTACTCATAGTGGTGTAAACACTGGCTATTATGCATAGTCCTTGCCACAATTTTGGGCCGCATAGGTAGATGGGATATAGAATTAGACATACTCAACAACAGCATCGCTAGGTTCAGTCACGACCTTCATCCCAATAGATCCTTCCGTAGAGTACAAGTCGGGCTTCTGTGCCAGAAGGGTTGCATAGGCCGGTGCCGCAACTGTTCCCTTCGATGTAGTCGCCGCCTCAGCCTCGACCTTGTCCCTCCGGAAGGCCCCTCCATTTTTAAATAATTTCCATATTGATTATTGTTTGTCTGAAAATAGATCCAAAGATTTGAGCGCAGCGATATCTTCGAGCTCTTAGGGACAATTCGACGTTGTTTCGGCTCTGGCGACAACGTGGGCATCCAACATGCACCGCAGGTGCGCGCTTGACCACTAACGCGGGGTATCCCTGCTCGGCTGTGCTTGACATGAATATGTATTTATATCACTCTCCTATCTCCCTCAAAAGAACAGAAGAGAAAATATGTAAGAATACAGGCGAGAGAGGAAAGGGTCCAAGGGAGAACAGAGGGTTGATAGAACGAATCGAGAGGACCAGAGAACCAGAGCACCAAACAAGAAGACAGCGAAAAACCGCAAACCTAGAATACTCTGGTGGCATGCCATAGCCTCCCAGTTAATGCTAATCAGCATCGATATATTGTTATTCTTCACTGCGTAGCTGATATTGTTGTGGAATGAATGAGCAGTAAGATCCCAAGCTACTTCCCTAACTCGCTCACATATATAGTGAATCAGTTCATGCCAAGACTTGTTCAATTCCCACGGGTTCCTCAGTGGCCGTTTACGTTGTTTAGATCAATTGTAGAGCATATATTGTAAGTATTACCAATTTGGACTTAAAGTCGAGGAGGCCTATGATTTGTGGCATCCCCGGCATCAATGTTCCGAGCCCCCGTCCCTCTACCCGAAACCTCAAACGGAGGCGACGACGGCGTGGCTTATATCGATAGGCGACCATATCAATATTGCTAGAAAGCTCCAACCCCCGCAACATTATTTCTCTGTATACACATCTTTCGTTATCCTACTCATGAGGGCGCCACTACGCCATCTGGAGCCCCCATTCTCCTAAGTACACTTTTACAACTCGAGCGCGCTCTCATACAAACAAACTTCAAACGGAGAGCCATGTTCAGTCTCAGCTCCCTCGTGAAATCCGCGCAGACCCTCATCGATCCAACCCAAGCCCTCAACCTATCGTCTTCTGATCGGAATCCCGCAAAATCTACTCTCTTCCGCAGCCAATTCCGCCTTCCTGACTCCGAGAACCCTCTCCAGGAGATCACCGCTGAGCTTACCGTCAGCCCCGCCGTCCAGTATGCCGCAAACGTTACACAGCGCGAGAAAGATAAGGATAGGGATCGCGGATACCACTATGCAGGCAAGCTCCATCTGAGCGAGAGTTACCTCTGCTTCTCGACCCAGCCGACAAGCTTCCTCCAGACGGCGAGCACAACCACAAGCTCGGGGTTTAATGGGCAAACACACGGGGCTGGGCCTGGAGGGAACGGATTTACCCTGCCGCTGTGCGCGATTCGGAGGGTGGAAAGACTGCATAGCCAGAGCTACCAGGTAATAATGTCTATACCCGTGTGTCAGAGTAGACTCTAACAAACTACAGTTTGCCCTTGCTATCACGACCTGGAATGGAATGGGCAGCGCTGCCTCGAAAGACTCGTCGAAAGCTTCACCTTCGCTACAAAAGATTACAGTACAATTGGCCGGAAGTCGTCAACAATGCGAGCGGTTTTGCGACGGTTTAAAGAAGGGGCTCAAGGGTGCGATCGGCGAGGTGGGAAAGCTGAAGAAGGTGGTCGCAGAGTGTTATTCGGAGTTTCTCCTCAGGCCCTACCCACAGAAGGAGGACCCAGCACCCGATGCAGGTCTGGGCATGAACGCAGAATTCAAATATCCGGGTGATGCGAGGAAATTAAGGGATAGGAGTAAGATGAGACTGTGGGCAGAGTACCTGAGGGAGAACGGGAGGAACGTCACATTAATACGACAACCTACATTCCATAAACTTGTGAGGGTGGGCTTGCCGAATAGGCTAAGGGGAGAAATATGGGAATTGACAAGTGGGAGTTTATATCTGCGCCTACAGTCGCCAAATCTGTTTGAGGATACGTTATCGAAATTTGAAGGCAGGGAATCCCTGGCCATCGATGAGATCGAGAAGGATCTGAACCGAAGCTTACCAGAATACCCTGGATTCCAAAGCGAACAGGGTATCGAACGCTTACGAAGAGTTCTGACGGCCTACAGTTGGATCGATGAGGAGGTTGGGTACTGCCAGGCGATGAACATCGTGGTTGCAGCTCTTCTGATTTATATGTCGGACGCGCAGGCGTTTTACTTACTTTCGGTCCTGTGTGACAGGTTACTTCCTGGATACTACTCAACAACGATGTACGGCACACTCCTTGATCAAAGGGTCTTTGAATCGCTTGTCGAAAAGACGATGCCTATCCTTTGGGACCACCTCGTGAAGGCAGACGTACAGCTTTCCGTTGTTTCACTTCCATGGTTTCTATCATTATATATCAACTCAATGCCTTTGGTATTCGCTTTCCGGGTCCTTGATGTCTTCTTCCTGGAGGGCCCCAAGGTGCTGTTTCAGGTTGGATTGGCTATTTTACGAATCAACGGCGAGGAGCTTCTCGACGCCACGGATGATGGAGCCTTTATCTCCGTGCTAAAGACGTATTTTGCAACACTGGACGAATCGGCACATCCAAAGTCGGAAAACCCCAAGCTTCGAGCCGTCACGCGCTTCCAGGAGCTGATGGTTGTTGCGTTTAAAGAGTTCTCAGCGATTACCCAGACGACCATCACCGACGAGAGAATGCAGCATAAGGATACCGTTCTAAACAACATAGAAAACTTTGCTAAGCGGACTTCGATTCGCAATCTCGGTCCTGATAGTAAGCGCCTGAGCGTGGAGGAGCTTGGTGCTTTATACGATAGATTTTACGGCATCCTATATGAGCGACAACAGCGTGCACAGATGATACAAGAGGAAGTAGAGAGACGCGCCAGGGCGCTGAAGAGTAAGACGTCGGAAGTAGTGTTCAGCGACAGACAGAGCATTGAGAAGGGCCGTGTTGGTTTGGGCCCGAGTCCAACCCTGATGGACTACGATGGCTTCCGAGAGTTCCTTGCTGGGATATGTCGATGGGCGGTGTCGGACGCGCCAACACCACCCGAGAAGGACACACCCAGAGAGCAATCATATTTTGGCAGCATAAGGCGTAGAGAGAATTCTCTTTCGCCATGGGGCGCTGGAAATCCTGTCCCGGCCGATCACGAGTTTATGCAGAGGTTATTTAGGCGATGGGATGTGGATATGAACTCAGCCCTAACATTATCGAATGTTGTTACGGGCCTTGCACATATAAAGGGGACGCGTGATATTATGGGTAGCATCACATATTTCTTTGAGCTTTACGATGACGACGGTGATGGAAAGGTCGACCGAGAAGGGATTTTAAGGATATCAGAAGCTTTGCTCTTCCTCTCGAGACGTGGTTTGGAAGGCTCATTGTCGCCTTCCGAGACATCTGGCTCAACTCCGTTAGATGGGCCTCACGGAACATCTAACGAACGATTCTTGGGCAGTGTAAGTGCATTTATCAGGAGGTGCTTCGAGTACGCCGACCCAGATCATCCTCAGAACCGACAAGAAGTCGCCGAGGAGACTGACGATGACATGCCACAACCTGATTCTTTTGGCATAGGGGACGACTCTGACGAAGAGGAGGACCTCCTCGATTTAAGCCCCCCCGAGAATGGCATGAGCAAGAAACTCCCCAAAACACCTAGCAACAAGCGCAGCTCCCAACGATCAGTGTCTAAGCAATCCGAGGCCGCGAACGCAGCCCTCGACCCATCCAACCCTCTCCACATCACTCTCCCCACTTTCCGCATGGTAGTCCTCGCCGACGAGCTACTTGAGCAGTTCTTCGAGTCCTCCTTCCCAGCTTCATTCCACACCCTCGACTCCGCCAATGATGCCGTCGTCACACGCTCCTCGAGCCTAACCACCTTCGCGAACCTCGGCTTCGCGCGCGCCCCTAGCATCGTACCGGGTGTGGGCGGCTCGGGATCAGCTGGTGCGGTGCCGCCTGGAAAGGGGCTCCGAGGCGTGCTGGACAATATCGTGACGGATGGTATGAGGGTCGCTGCGGAGGTGCGGCGCAGAGTCGACGAGGCGCAGAAGGATATCGAGAAGAATGCTCTGCAGCGCGATGAGGACGAAGATGAAGATGAGGTCGAGGACTACAGCAAGCCGAGCCCAAGCGCGTATGCGAGAGATGCGGATCGGAGGTCTGTGAGGTCTGAGGATCGCGATTTGTTAGAAGGTGCGGATGCGGAGGCGGGGAGTAGCAAGGGGGGCGGTGTTGGGGAGGTGTCGATGGATGACTTGAAGGTTCCAACTAGTGCTTCGCGCTCTAGGAGCGCGAGCACGGCCTCAGGAAAGAGTCGGGTGGTGGAGTTTGAGCAGTGAGTTTTGTTAGCGGGTGCATGTTGATTTGGGATGGCGATCTGAGACTGCGGGGCATGATGACGTATGGGCTGGCGTAGAGAATGGCGTTTTTTTACTGTGTGAGTAGAGTATGAAGGACGGCGATTAGGTATAGAACCATGTAACTCAAATACCAGCTTTCAGCAAAACCAGTGAGTCTTATCTTATCTTACTATCTTATCTTATCTTATCTTATTACTTATATAAACTATACCTAATTAGGTAATAACTAAGCCTAATAAGGTATAGATTATAGTCATGATTATAACCATGACTACGGAAGTTATTCATGATTATAAATCATGATTATGATTAACTTCTACGCTTTATCAATAATCATGATTATGATTGCGGCTAAATAATCATGATTATAATTGATTTTCTAACTTACTACTAAATAGTTGTTGAGATTTTAGTTACAAAATTCATGATTTTGGGTCTTAAATGGGGTGCGTCACTCGCTTGTGTGCGTCACTCGCTGTGAAATACCGTAACGTATTTCACAGGTTTAATAGTAGCATAGTACTGAATATGTGCATATTGTCAAATATAATTCTATCCAATATCTATGCAGCCCCTATGTGCTCTAATTATTTCTGGTTCTTACTACCTCTCCCTCCCTTCCCTTTCCCAGCACCCCCTCCTTTCCGCGCCGCCCCAGATGCACCCCCACCAAGCATAATGGCCACCTTTCCTACAGGTATCACATTCACAATCTCTTCCGCCTTCAAGCCCTTTACAAGCTCGACCTCTCTTGGCCACATCTTCTCCACATCACTGCTGTTTTCATCCACATACGCTTTCACAAGAGAATCCACACCCCACTTTGACAAGATCTCCTTCACCGCCTTGCCCTTCTTCATGGGACCCGGTTGCAACTTGACCTTATACTTATACTTCCCCACTGCCGTCCAGGGTGCACACACAGGAATGACATCCAGGATGACATCGCCAGGAAGCGGCGTGCCGACTAGCGTATCGAGGGACACGGCTTTCTCAGCCTCATCGGCCTCTTCATCGACAATGTCCTCGCCAGCTTCCATCATTGCCTTACGCGCTTCCTCATGCTTAGCTATCTCTTGCTGGGTGCGCTGATGTTGGGCCTTCCGGCGCTGTTCATTGAACTCCCTTTCGGCCTCCAAGGCCCTCTTAGCTTCGGCTTCTGCCTCAGCTTTCTTGGCACCTGCAGTGGCTCCCGTGAGAGCCTGTGCTGCGAGTTTGTCTTCTAGGTCTTGGTGCTTGTATTTCCGAGAGGCCTTCTTGAGTTTGTTGCGCTTGCCTCGAGGCAGCGGGGCCTGGCCTTTTTGCTTTGTGGATGTTGAAGACGGTGTTGCTGCACCTTCTTCTGATGAAGACTCTGCGCCAGCTTCTGGTTTAGTATCATCGACTTCTATAGGAGATGGCTGGTTTTTCGCTCTCTGGTTATCGTCATTGAGGGTCGTTGGTGCCTTTTCGTCATCGACAGTTAGGTCTTGCAAGCCAGTCAAAGTTGTTGTGTCCACACTTTGCTGAGATTGTGACACGTCAGGGTTGGGCTGACTTCCAGTGAACTGTAGCGGATTTTGTCTGGATTCGGCGGTAGATGTGCCATTGTTTTCTTCGCTTTCTTCATCATCTTCTTCCGACGCATTACGTTGGTTATCTTCATCGTCACTATCAGGCTGTGTTGGATTCACAGTGCTTTCAGGCCCCTTAGCACCTGTACCAGTAGCGCTTCCGCCGCCATGCACTCGATACTTCGTGTGGTTGGCCTTACTTTCGTTGCTCACATGAAACATTACGCCAAATCCTAGAAGAAGGGGTGCCGGAGGCAGAAAGTTCTTCTTGCCTCGCACATCGAAGCTTCCAGGTTTGAAATAATCTCCAGTCGGCGCGGATTTGGAGACTTGATCAGCATTGGCCCACCATGCGGGCATGCCAGCCTTCGATTCCCAGGCAGAAGATGACGATACTGCAAGTATGCCGGCTTGCGATAGTGTTGATGGTGGTATAGGCGCATCAACTCTTGATTCGTGATTTCGAATGAAAACACTTGTGGCACCATCCAAGTCAGCGTGGACATATACGTCACCCTTCCGGAGATATCGTTTGTAGAGGATCTCGTTCTGTTGAGCATCTCGTCCACCTAGAACCAGATACCCATCGGATGAGATAAACCACATGAATTTCTCAAACCACATGTGTTTTCTCACAGGCCGCAGGATAGCCTTCTCTTGCTTCAATCCTTTCTTCAAATCTTGCTCGATTTTATGAGACGTGCTTTTCAAAGCTTTGGTTGACGATTCCAGTGTCTTCTTCTCCTTCTCTGCAGCCGAACGCCTCTGTCCGTAGTATTCTCGAGCATTGCTCCACGGGGAGGCACCAAGATTGATATCAATAGCTAGACGCTTGTCTACTACTTTCTTCACAGCCTCCTTTATGGGTGCTTCGTCCTCACTATCAGAGACATCGCTACCAGTTTCGTATGCCTCATCATTCAAGTCTTCAACAAAGATTTCCTCATCCAAGAGTAGCGTGACTGTGTTCTCATGCAACTTCAAAGGCAATTTGATGATGCTGGCCACTGGATTTCCTCGCTTCTGTTCGATGTCGATCAACTTGCCTATTTCTATCCAGTCCATCCCTTGTGCGATCAGGCCATTCACAGCATCAGTTGCTTCCTGGACTCTCTGCACGTTAGTTTCAATAGCTCCAGCTTTGCGCTCGTTTAGAGTTTGAATTTCTTGGAGACCGCCTAGTCGCTTTTGTTGATCGTCTTTCGCAGCCTGAAGCTTCTTCTTCGCAGTCACCTCTCGTTCATAGAGGCGCGATTCTAGCCTCTGTCCTTCAATAGACGAAAAGAATTCGTCTACGGTATTGTTGAAGCCCTCGAATGGTACAAATGTACAGGCTGGATCATTTTCAAACTGCCGCGGCTTGAAAGGGTGGAAGTCTTCATATAGCAGAGCCTGTCGTTCAGTCTCCTCATCCCTGGAAGCAACCTTATCGGTCCGTTCTTGTTTCTTTGCAATTATGTATCCAGTCGCGACATCCGAACCCGTAATTTCCTTCACGACGCGATCTGCCTCTTCCAATGAGCGCAAAAGGTGGTCCAGCAGAGTGTCGTTTTTTGCGATATCGGCAGGTTTTAGAGTAGGATCGAAATCTGTGACTTTCATGGCATGGTCCACGAGTAACGGTGGGAATTCTGTTATAGATACTGCCAGCGCCCTCCTCAGCGAGTCAATGCCATTCTTACCCTGCTTCTTCTCAGCAGGTGCATTCTCGCTCTGCTCTGCAGCCTTTCGTAATGCGGCCTGCAGCCTGTCTTTGGTGAGAGGCGGGATGCCGAGGTAATTTTGCCTGTTCTCTAGCGAATATTTAAGCCCTATACGTTGTTCTTCCTGTCCCTCCCCCGGAGGCACCGTTCTCAGCAACGTCAAGATATTCAACTCCTTATCTGTGAGGATGATGTTTCCACCAGCGTAGAATTCTAAGTATAGTCGGTATTGCCCTTCGCTAAACTGAAACTCGATTATCCTGTCTGTTCCAATTTGGGAGACCGCGGTTACTCGACGAGTTTTGAGAAATTTTCGTAGCTTCGTGACAAAGACTGAGGGCGATGCGGTGGTTGCTCTCGAGAAGCTCGTCAGATGGCATCGGAAGCCGGAATCAATGATCATCTGCTTCTTATCATCTGGCTTCGTAAACCTCAGCAGGAATATTTTCTGCCAACTGTTAGCATAATTCTTGCAGTATCTTCTCTGTTGAACGTACCGAGGCCAAGTCATAGACATTGGCAAGACGCAAAGTGACCAGGCTGTTCGAGAGCTCATAAGCAATGACCTATGCAGCCATTAGCAAGAGCCCATTAGGGCGACACTGCAAACTTGCCTTCACATCTAGGGAAGAAAATCGCTGCTTCATTGTCAATGCAGATTAATTAATGTGCATCTATTGACAATTGTTGAGCGGGGATGTACTGGTCGTGCTTTGACGTCAGACGCCCGCAGTTGGACCCCTCCAAAGCTCCAACGCCAAGAAGCTACTTCGGATTTCTCACTCAGCAAGGTGTAGTAGATGACAAAGTGAGTTATGGAATTCACCACCACGCTATTAACAACTAATAAAGGCAGACGGAAACTTTCACCATGGGAGAAGTATGGTATTGAATGGATCATTTTTATTACTGCCTAGCCTATTGTCCCGATCGGAACTATGGTATTCCACTTATGTACTGTACAACAATACATTTACAAGGCTTCATCGTCCTCCTCTTTCTCTCGAGCGCCGTTGGATATCATGTACAGAGCAAGCCGTGTACCAAATACAATGGTTATATGAACGCCGCCATGCAAATGCCACTGAGAATTGGCTTATGTGTCCGTTGAAAGACAAAGGAAAATTGGGAACTTTGGAAAGTTACGAAATGTATGAAGCTTGGGTCGTCGTGCTCTAAAGAGCTAGAATCAAAGACATCCGGCGCGGCAAAAGCCTCGCCAGTAGTCTGTACGCATTGGATGGCCGCCCTGTGTGAGTATGATGCCTAGATGGCTGGACTGTCAAGCAGCAAGACCTTGGAGCTGTCTTCGAACATGTTTCGTCGGAATGTGCAAATCTTAGCGGCAATGACCTGGAAATCGCGAATCTTGGAGATACGCAGGTCTTGAAGCACTTCCTTCAAACCTTTGATAAATCTCGTCTTGTCTTCTTCCTTGTAGCCTGAGCTGTCACCAAGCGATACCAGAATTAACTCATCTATGTCAGCAGCGCATAGAGTCAGTCAAACGAGCAACTCGAAGCAAAAGGGGGACCTTGGACGGCGGAGACATCGACCCACGCACCAGGAAGGACAATATCTCGAAAATGTTGGAACTCGCATGACACGTCGTTACAAATACCACCTGCCAGCTCGAACCGACAAAGCTCTTTGCGATCATCAATGTTGTTGCTGTAAGTTAATGACTTGTAGCCGCCAGGGACTTGCTTGGTGAATTCGGGGTGGAAACGGTACGCTTTAAATCGCTTTAAAGGGCTCTCGTAGGGTGTGAAAAAAGACTTCTGTGCCGGAGCCTTTTCGGTTTCGTCCTGTGATAGTGTCAGTGCAAGTTACCCGAAGTTTTGCAGGAAAACCTCTACTTCATCATTTGATATACGGGATAATTGTGTCCCTACTGGTTCTGCAGGTTCAGTTGAGCCTTCAAGTGGCGCTAAGGACATTTCTTGGTCACTACTAGAAGCGTCCTGGGTCGATTCAGGAGATTGTGGGCTAAATGGGGGAGAATTAGTAGCAATAAGCTCGGTGGTTGACGGAGGAGTGGCTTCCGGAGGTTCGTAGGTATCAGAATCGCCGTCGGCGGTGCTAGCAAGGTTTGACTCCAAGCCAAGTGATTCAGGCACTGGGGCATTTTGGCCTTGGGTATCAGAAATTGAATTGTGGTCAGGCGGATAGGGTTCATCGATTTCCCTATCCTTGGATTGCGTAGACTCTGCGTCATCTGCAATGCTTTCTTCCATGTCGACCTCGTCTTCTGCATCTTGCTGGCTGGGCGGATGAGTATCGTCAATATTCAAGTCCATCGGAGGTGTTTGTAATTGGTCTTGAACTTGAAGGCTTAGCTGTGAAGCCTGGGGTTCCATGATGTTGGTGTCAGCCGCATTGGCGGCATCTTGCTCAGACATAGGCTTGATAGGCAGACCTGCCATAATGACTTCAGAGGACTGGCCATCTGGTAAATTGGACGGTGGTAATAATTCATCGCTTGTAGAATCACGTAGTTGAGGTTGGCTGCCAGATGACTCTTCATCGGCGGGCGGAAGACTTGGCTCTTTGGAGGCCAGGCCTTCAGTTGTTGTCCGTTCCGTAACTGGCGATTCAGAGCTTGGCTGATAATCCGACATTGAAATATCCTGTTGACCTGCCACAGTTTCCGCGTTGGTGTCGACCGAAAAGGAGGCTGCGCCGACCGGCTCTGGAAGCACTTGTGAATCACCTATTGAATGAGCTGATAGATCTTTTTTGGGTAAAAAGGGGAGTAATAATGTCGATATAAGCTGCAACGGAATAAAAAACGAAGACATACCTTTTTGTCCCATAGCTATATCACTAGTTAAGCTTATCAAGTGGTCCTTTTGGGCTTCGAGTTGATCGTCAACCTCGTGGCTCAGTTTCTCCATTTCCTCGGCAAGTCTGCGCTTTTCTTCCAATCGTTTCTGAACAGCAAGCTCTAGATTTTCCATTTCTTCCCTCAAACCCGCAAGTCTCCTCTGTGATTCCTGGACCTCTGCGTCAACAACAGGAAGGTCTGCAGCTATCCTAGCTCGACGCTGGCGCCTTTGCTCCGACTCTCTTTGCTTGAGATCTTTGGCACTGTGCTCTTCAAGTTCCTGAGCTCGTGCAAGTTTTTCTTGCTCTTCCTCTATTCTCCGACTAGCATCATCGATGAGACGCTCGATATGAACCGAAGTATGGATCTTGTTTGATATACTCGCATCCTTTGCTGATATATCCTCGATTGGTGTAGATGTTTTATTCATAGGGGTTTGTGATCCACTTGCAACGAGCTTTGCTTTCTTCCGTTGTTCGGCTTCGGCAATCTTTCTTCTCATCTCCTGAATTTCAAATTCTTTCTTTTTGAGATCTTCAGGGCGGGTAGAAGTTCGTTGTGGAGCCTGATGGCTCGGCGGGGTGCTAAGGGTTGATGATGGAGCAGCAAATGATTTCTTAGGAGGGAAATCCGGAAGCGGAGGGAGATCCCGTAAGCCTGGTCTAAATGGATTTGCCGCCTGAATGTTCCGTGGCAATATATCACCCACTTGATCATCTATCTCCATTTCGGCGGACTCGTTGTCAGATTCTTCCTCGCTGACATCTATCACCAAACGTTGATCATGTCTGTTGTGGCCGAATGGACGTTTGTATGTTGTATTAGTGGGAGCATTAGAATCGAAGTCGGACGCGACAGGACGTTTACGGAGATTGGTATTTTGAATAATCGATGTGCTCTGATGTATGTTTGGTTGTAAGGTGCCGGTTGTACCGGAAAGAAAAAGGCCTGGAATTGAAGGCATCGATGTTTGGGGCTCTGGATATTGTGGGGAGGCCGAGTAAGTTCGAATATCGTCAGGTGGTGAAGTGATAGGCACTGAGGTGGAAAGGTGGGTGATCTGGGATTGAGGGATGTGATGTTGGCCAGGCCCGGTTGCTCCAGACTGCATACTAGATGCAGTGGTTTGTTTTGCGGTAGCTTTCTGTGCCCGTGCTTCTCGTGATTTCTGGAGAGCCTCCATTTTTTGCTTTAGCAATTTCTCTTTATCCACCTTAGTCGTAGATTGGGAAGCTGTTGATTTAATTGCCAGAGCATTATCGGCCAAGATCGCGGTGGCAGGCGCCATGGGCTGTGGTAAGTTCAATAGCTTCTTACTTTTCTCTTCTAGTAATCGAGCTATCCTATCTTTGCGCTCTTCACCTTTGTTTGTTATTGGAACAGCGTTGCTGGTGGTCTGTTGACTGTTGCTATTCGTATTGATAGTGTTTGTTTTGAGGTTGGAGTGAATTTGAGGAGAGCCAGTAATAATAGAATCGGACACATCACTTGCAACCGCTTGTGGGGTAAAGCCAGCCGTGTGTTGCGCTTGTCCAATTCCACCGCTTAGTTGCTTAGTGGAGGAATAAGATGAAGACATGCCAATGTCATCAAAAACACTTCTGATAATCTCTTCATCAATTCCTTCGTCGACGAAATTTTGGAAGCGCACTTTTAACGGTATGAGATTCAGAACAGCATTTTGTGCTTGTCGCCTCGCATCCTGAACCGATTTTACATGGTTGACAATCGTAGAAGTGGAACTACCGCGGTTGTCTAGACCTTGCTTTGTATTTTGTTCCTGGCGGTTCGTGATCGATTCCCCATTCTGTTTGCTAAACATCCGTTTCTCTTCTTCTCGTATGTGGGCCAAGTTTACTGTTACATCTTCGAGTGGCACTAATTTTTTATCAGAAGATGATATAGCTTTCAGAGGGGAATTCATACAGTCTGGTTGCCGGCCCGCTGCCATAACTGAAGCAGAAGGACCCGAGGATGGCGGAGAATATGAATCCGAGCTCTGACGGTGCATATTTCGAGACCGGCCATATGGATCTAAAATTATTTAGCAACATGCATGCAAACGAAAAGTAGCGGAACAGTACCGATCGTCATCTTCTCAAAACTGCTCTGCCGTTGGTTTAACGTTCCATTTGAAGGTCGTCTACGCTCCTTTCGATAGTCATTATAGCTTCCTGCCTCCCCTCGAGCTGGCCCCGGAATGCCTTCCACATTGTTCTCCTCATATTCGCCTTCGCTAAGTTCGCCTTCCTCTACGGCGTGTAGCCCCGGCCGAATCGCCGACGGTCCAGCGCGACCTTGTGCCACCGATTCCGGCTGCATGGCGAACAGTCCTTGCCCAGAAACAACATCCACCGTTGAAGACTCGAGCGGGTTTTGAATCTCATGGAGGTTGGCCTGTGTAGCCCATACTGGTATCTGGTATAGTGCACTGGGGTCCATCCCGCCATATATTGGGAGAGGAGGCGCTCCAGAATTTCGGGCAATCGGATTGAATGGAGGGGGCCTGGCGTTATATTCAAGCCCAGGGGCAAGGGCAGTGGCATTTTGTTCGAACGCTGACATATTTGTCGATTGGGAAGGTCTGGCGTATGCATATTCGGTGTTCTGTGGCGTCGAGTATTGGAAAGGAACTGCCTGGCCCCTCTGCCCTGGGGCAGGCCCGAAGGAGGGTGGCGGGGGATACCCTGCCATGAGCGCGATATTTGTGGTCTTGCGCTCGTGCAATTACGCCCATTCAGTTAGTATTAAACTAAGGGTATATTAGGGTTCTTCGTGAAGCTCAATGACCCGCGATATCATGTTAGCAGGTATACTAGGATGTCGTCTACAGTTTCGATAGAGGAACTCGCGAAGATTAAATCCCCGGTGACGATCAAGGACAACAAAATTTCTGCTGATAGTATGGACGCGGTCCTCTGTTTCGTCCTCTTGTTGAACAACGGCATGGCGCTTGGTCTGCTTAGCGCCTGAGATGTTAGCGCGGAACTAAAGGCACTGGACTGGATCACGTGAGACCCCTGCACGGCAACCGCGTTTTAATGGGGTTTGTTTACTTCTCGATAAGCCTCAGGTGACACTGGGGAATGTCGACATCTAACAATAACCCCCACGACAAACAATTCATAAGCAGGCTTGGGTTTTAATGATTTGGATGATACTGGGGCACAGCTATTAAGCACCACTATTTTGGTTTGTTGAAAGTCTTCATGGCCTGCTCGTAACGGGCCTTCCTCGTTCTCAAACCCGGTCCTTCATCCACGACATTTCCTCATGGCGCAGAATGGCTCTGCACAATTGCGTGCAAGTCCCTTTGCAAGGGCAAGGGCAACAACCTCGTCTTATAATCAAAGCAACTCTGGCTCATTACCGTCGTCTTCGATAGGATCTCCACCACCGACACATGCGGCATCTCACACTCAAAATCAGTCGTATTCACCAGTAACAACTCCAACACTCGGAAAAGGCCCAGTTCACAGTCGACAGCTTTCAGATTCAAAGATATCTACCATAAAATCGAATACTTTTGCGCCTTTATTTATTAAAACCGGGGAGTCTCAAGAAAGAACGAAGGCCATCGATGGAATCGAAGGCGAAAACGACTTCTCAGGTAAACGGTATGTTTGGCTGAAGGACCCTGGTACGGCCTTCATTCAAGGGTGGATTGTGGAGGAGCTCGAAGGTGGCCAAATCCTTGTACAATGCGATGATGGCAGCGTAAGACCAGCTACTTTCCCTTCCCTGGCTTTGCTAATACTATTCATAGCAACGGGAAGTTCATAGCGAGAATGTCGACAAAGTCAACCCCGCGAAGTTTGACAAGGCAGACGACATGGCTGAGCTAACGCATCTAAACGAAGCATCGGTCGTTCATAACCTACATATGCGATACCAAGCCGATCTAATATATACCTATTCTGGTCTTTTCCTGGTTACCATCAATCCTTATTGCTCACTGCCTATTTATACCAATGAGTACATAAATATGTATAGGGGACGAAGCCGGGAAGACACAAAACCACATATTTATGCCATGGCAGATGAAGCATTTAGGAACTTGGTGGACGAAGGACAGAACCAAAGTATCCTTGTCACTGGAGAATCCGGCGCAGGGAAAACAGAAAACACAAAGAAAGTCATCCAATATCTTGCCGCTGTTGCACATTCAGATTCCCCCCTCAAGAATAAGATTCAGCATTCAAATCTCTCGGCACAAATCCTGCGGGCAAACCCAATTCTCGAGGCGTTCGGGAATGCTCAAACCGTCCGGAACAACAACTCGTCACGCTTCGGGAAATTCATCCGGATCGAGTTCACGAGGACCGGTACAATCGCTGGAGCCTTTATCGATTGGTACTTACTTGAAAAATCGAGAGTAGTCAGGCTTAATTCTCATGAGCGGAACTACCATGTATTTTATCAACTGCTCAAGGGCGCCGACCGCCAAATGAAGCAAAAATACCTTCTCGAAAACTCAGACGTCCAGGATTTTACATACACAAGGGATGGCAACGACTCAATTTCCGGGGTTTCTGACAGAGACGAATGGAACTCGTTGATAGAGGCCTTCGATGTCATGGGGTTCTCAGAGAAAGATCAAGACTCTATTTTCCGAACTGTGGCTGCTGTGCTTCATTTGGGCAATATTTCGGTAATGAATGAAAGCCGGGGCGCGGATCAAGCTCGCCTGGCACCAAACGCTCGTGCGGAAGCGGAGAAGTTTTGCAGGTTGCTAGGAATATCGCTTGAGCCCTTCCTTTCTGGCCTTTTGCACCCACGGGTAAAAGCTGGCCGAGAGTGGGTTGAGAAGGTTCAAACCCCCGAACAAGTCAGACTCGCCATCGATGCCTTGGCTAAAGGAATCTATGAGCGAGGATTTGGAGACTTGGTCTCAAAAATCAATCAACAACTGGATCGAACAGGTATGGGACTCGATGATTCTCATTTCATTGGCGTACTCGACATTGCTGGATTCGAGATATTCGAAGAGAACAGCTTTGAGCAGCTTTGCATCAACTACACGAACGAGAAACTGCAACAATTCTTCAATCACCACATGTTTGTCCTTGAGCAGGAAGAATACGCACGAGAACAGATCGAGTGGAAATTTATAGATTTCGGTCGTGATCTCCAGCCGACCATCGATCTGATAGAATTGTCCAACCCGATTGGTATCTTCTCCTGCTTGGATGAAGACTCTGTGATGCCGAAAGCAACCGACAAATCCTTTACGGAGAAACTCAATTCATTATGGGATCGCAAGACTCCGAAGTACCGCTCTTCTCGACTCAAACAAGGATTCTTGCTTACTCACTATGCTGCCGAAGTCGAATATTCGACTGAAGGCTGGCTAGAAAAGAATAAGGATCCTCTCAACGACAATATCACAAGACTATTGGCAGCATCAGCGGATAAGCACGTATCCAACCTTTTTGTGGATTGTGCAGACCCGGACGATGAAAGCAGTGGTATCCGCAATAGTCGTGTAAAGAAGGGGTTATTCCGTACTGTAGCTCAAAGGCATAAAGAACAACTCTCAAATCTTATGACACAGCTTCATTCAACGCATCCGCATTTCGTCAGGTGCATCATTCCAAATCACAAGAAAAAACCAAAGCAGCTAAGCGCGCCTTTGGTACTGGATCAGTTACGTTGCAATGGTGTCCTGGAAGGCATTAGAATTGCACGGACGGGCTTTCCGAATAGACTGCCATTTTCTGAATTCCGCCAGCGATACGAAGTACTCTGCAGAAACATGCCAAAGGGTTATTTGGAAGGACAAGCTGCTGCGACCATTATGCTAGAGAAACTGACATCGGATAAGTCCATGTTCAGAGTCGGCCTTACAAAGGTATTTTTCAGGGCTGGGGTGTTAGCGGAGCTTGAAGAGCAACGTGATGCGCTGATCCGTGAGATCATGTCTCGATTCCAATCCGTTGCTCGAGGCTTCAGTCAGCGGCGAATTGCGCACAAGAGACTCTATAGAGCCGAAGCCACACGAATAATACAGCGAAATTTTCAGGTTTACCTTAACCTGTGCGATAACCCATGGTGGCAGCTGCTAGCCAAGATGAAACCCTTACTGGGCGCCACTCGTACTTCCGGTGAGGTGAAGAAACGAGACGAGATAATTCAGAAACTCGGAGAGAGAATCAAGCAAGACGCGGCCGATCGCCAAAGGGTCGAGGATGAACGGCGCAGCGCCCATGCGGAGATTCAACGAATACAGACGACTCTAGAGAGCGAGCGTTCACTCGCATTGGATAAGGAAGAAATCTTCAAGCGGTTACAGATGCGTGAGGTTGAGCTTAGTGACAAACTGGCTGGCGCAATCGACGATCAGGAGAAATTAGAAGATCACCTTGACGAGCTCTTGGACGCCAAGAAAAAGGCCGAAGAGCAGTCTGAAGACTTACGAGTGCAGTTATCACATGCCGGAACGATAATTTATAATCTTGAAGCCGAAAAACAGAGTCTCGTTCAAAAGCTCGCAGATATGGATTCAAAATTTGAGGAGATCTCTCAGGCTCAATCACAGAGATCATCGGCTGAGGCCGAACTATCCCAAGAAGTCCAAATGCTCCAAAGCCAGTTGAGCTTGAAAGATCGGAAGGCGCAGGAATTAGAGAAGAAACTTCTTAAAATCGGCCAAGACCTCGATGTTAAGCTAGCACGTACGACCAAGGATCTACAAGCATCGCGCTCGCGAGAGCAAGCACTAGCCGACGAGACCAGAAAGGCTCAGCAGCAATTAACAGAATTGGCTTCCACTTCGACTGGTTACGAAGACCTCGTTAGGCGCAAAGAGATCGAATTAGCAATCCTACGGTCTGACAACAAGAAATATGAGGCTAACCAGGCTTCTTTCGAGGACAAAAAGAAATCTCTGCTTGATAGCAAGAACATTATTGCTGCCAGGGTACGGGAGGTCCAAGCTGAAATGGTAGCGATGAAGACGCAAAAATCTCAGCTCGAACGCGAGGCAGCAGATGCGAAGAAATTGCTCGAGGCCAGGCTTACTGAAGATGCAGAAGCAGGTCAGAGTCGGAAGTTACTCGAGACTCAGATCAAAGACCTGAAAGATCAACTCTTTGCTGTCCAGACTGATCTAAGCAGAGAGCGTCAATCAAGAGACGACGTGCAATTGCTTGGGGAACATAAATTCCAGAAACTCAAGGAGGAATACCAGGTACTAAACGAGGCTAAGATCACAATTGAGAAGGAGCTTTATGTGCAGCAGGATACCCTGAGGCGGGCCACGGAAGGTCGTGCCGCCGCAGAGAAAGAAAGAAACGAAGCAAGAAACGAGATTCGGAGACTTAGGGAAGCCAAATCCGCGATGGAGGAACTAAAAATTCAAGCGGAACTTGCTGGTGAGCGTAACGCTTCAAGAGTGGCTAGGGAGCGTGAAGCAGGTTTAATGAGAGACCTCGAAGCCGAACAAAGCCGGCTTAAATGGTTTGAAGCCGAATGCACGAAGCTGAGCCAGCAAGTTGACGAGCTCAACAAAATGATCCTCGAATCTGGAAATTTCGGTCTCCAAGTCGACCAACAGAAAGAGCGCCTCGAAAGCGAACTGAACACAGTTAAGAGTAGATTGATGGCTTCCGAGAACGACAATCGTGCACTTCTCAACAAGATTCAACAGAAAGGCCTCGAGCTGGCTCGTGCTGGTTCTCAGGCTAGTGAGTCTCAACGAGGAAAGGTAATAGCCTTACAGCGTGAGAAAGCCAGAAACGAAGAGCAGAACATGAAGCTATTAAAGCAGCTCGAAGAGGTTCAGATGCTTGCAGCTTCCGCCCAGAAAAAAAATGAGAAGCTTCAATTAACAATAGAGGATCTCAACCACGAAGTTTCTCGTGAACACAAATCAAGTCGGAATGCCGAGATGAATTCATCCACCACTACAACACAGCTAGCTGAGGCCAAGAGGAAGATCGAAAAAGAGGAGCAACTGCGCACACAATCACAGGAATTAGTGAAGAAATTGCAGTCAAGCCTGGATGGCCGCGACAGAGATCTTGAAGAACTCCGGGCTCAGAGATTGCAACTCCTTAAGGTTGTCGATGCTGAGGTATCTGCCCAAGTTCCACACGGAGATGGAGCGGCCGATACGTCAATTCTCCAGAAATACGACCTCGTTCGTAAAGTCCAGGACTTACAACAAAACCTGCGAATACAGATGGCTGGCCGATCTAATGCTGAATCTCAGCTCTCGGACTTGCGTAAAAAGTATGAAGCGGATATAGAATCGGCTGGGAGGCCTCGCGCCATGCTTGAAGAGATCCACCCAAATCAAGTACCATTCCAATCTCCAACTCATGCGCGTACGAAGGCGAATGGCAGGGTACATTCCAATGTTTCAACGCCAACTCGCCGAGTAGCCACCAATGACGCCGATCCTACCTTGGACTCAGGCCGCTCCGATAGAACTGCTGATCTGTTAAGTTTTAACAATCGCATGGATCTCAAGACTGAGTTAGAAGAGCTGCAAAATCAACTCCAGCTGACGCAGATGCAAAATCGCCACCTTAAAAGCCAGATTGAACGCTCCACTCCGTCCCGAGAGCTGTGGCAGGATGATAGCCCTTCGTTGAGACGAGTGCACAAACTTGAAAAGGCAAATACTAGGTTGCACGGTATGCTCGACGACTCTGCGAAGAAGGTTTCGCAATTAGAGAGAAGTGTGCAATCGGGTGCTCTGTCTCTCCGCGATGTTCAGACAAGGTCCCACGAGGAGCTCTATGAATTGATCAGTAATCAAGAGGACGCCAGGCGATCACTGGTTCATTTGAATGACGATGCTGCCGCTGAACTTTCTGATATCAAAGACCATTTTGATGGCTTGAAACACGCCAGGGCGACATTGGAAGTTGAGCTTAGGGATGCCAAATCCGACCTTGAAGAGATGGCCCGTGCTAGGGATCAGGACGTCACAAGCCGAAATCAACTATTACAAGAATTTGCTGATCTCCAAATCCAATTCGACGCTGAGTCTTCCAAGGTAGCGGAAGTCTCTTCTAGTTTTGCCCTTTATAAGGGTCGCGCGGATGAGTACTTCAACAAGCTTGAACAGGCTGAAATTGCTGTCCTCAAGGCATCTAGAGCCGAACAATTTGCTAGGTCCCAAGCAAGAGAGGCTGAGGAAACTTGTGCAACTATCATGTCTGAAAGGAGGCAGATGGAGGGTTCTATCGAAGACCTACAGCGACAAAACCAGAGTTATGAGGAGAGACTGGAGGATCTCTCGGCCGATCTGGAGGGGGCTATCCAAGCTAGAAAGCGCCTCCAGCACGAGCTTGAAGATTACCGTAGCCAGCGTGCAATGGACATAGAGGACAAAGAGACAAGCATGGAGCAGACACGCAAGAAGTACCAGGCTGAGTTTGCGACTTTGACAAACGAACTGGATATTGCCCGTGAGGAGAGGCTGTTTAAGCAGTCTGAGAATACAAGACTACGAGAAGAACTTGATGATCTTAGATCCAAGTGGGATGATGAAGTGCTCAACAGTTCCACATGGTCAAAAGAGAAGGCTCGTCTCGAAGTCTCTCTGGCAGATTTGGTCTCCTCTCGAGATGAAGCCTCCAATGCCCACAATGATGCCCAAGGCAAAATTGTATCCCTACTTTCACAGGTTCGCAGCCTGAGAACTTCAGTTGACGACGTTGCTGCTGAGCGCGATGCGCTTCAGCGCGAAAAGCGCGGCCTTGAAGCGCGTCTAGAGGAAGCCAAGAACGGCTTTGAAGGTCTCGTTCGTGGAGACAGCCCATCACTTCGCAACGCTGCCGGTCTCGACAAGGAGCTTCTTGAGCTAAAATCTAGCTTGGCTCAAAACGAAGACATTGCTGCCGCAGCTGTAGAGAAGATGAGGCGTGCCGAGGCTCTGACATCTGAGATGCAGAAAGATATTGTTGCTGAACGCGAAACTACCGTTCAACTTCATAAAGAGAAGGCTGCTCTCGAAAAGTCGTTGAAAGATGTGCAAGTTCGGTTGGTGGATCTAGAAACCAAAGGCTATTCCAGCGCCAGCCAAGATGTTAGATTCCTCCATGGCCGGGTACAAGAGGTATGTATATATTCGATATGGTCAAGTGAGAGTATAGCTAACACCGCCCAGCTTGAGAGCCAGCTTGAAGCGCAAGAATCGGAGCGATCTAGGTCCCAGCGTGATGTCCGCAACGTCGACCGTACCGTCAAAGACCTTCAGCAACAGATCGAGAGGCGTGAGAAGGCCAACAGCCAACTCCAAGACGATATAAACCGCAGTCGCGAAAAGGCCGAAAAGCTACTCAAAACGATCGACGAGCTCCAAGCCAGCGACAGCAGTAATCAACTCAGTGCTCGAAGAGCCGAGAGAGAGCTACGCGAAGAGAAAGAGAAGGCCCTCCGACTTGAGAGAGAACTTGGTGCTTGGAAGGCGCTACGCATGGAGAAGGGGGCGACTATCTCCGGGGGTACTGTCAGGCGGTCCGGGCAGTGGGCGAGAGGAGGTATGAGTAGTGAGTGGGATGACGAGAATACAAGCATTCTCGGGGGTGAGGATGGGATCGTGATTCCCAAGAGAAAGGGGTCGCAGAGCAGGCAGACTAGTATGAGCAAGGGGTTCTTGTAGACCAGGGAGGATGGAGTACTCATAATGATTGATTATTTTTGCAGGCTTCTTTATACAAGCCGGGGGGGGGGGGGGTGGGGGGGGCGCGGCTGGGATGGGAACGGTGGGGCCTGGGTCAGGCGGTGTCTGATGCATCGATGCAGGTCGTATAGAATGTATCACGGCGGCGGGGTCTGATTTGGAGTCTGGATTGCTTATGTTGTCTTTGAATAAATATTATTATTGCTAAAGCTAGAGTAGTAAGTGATTTATACGTGCTTAGATTCCAAACAATGCCCCCAAAAGCTTTGGGTCGTACCGCCACTGCCTTCATAGTTGATGGCTTCGTGGGGGTGGAGGGGTCAACTTGAAGTTTTGATCTAGCCTCCTTTTTACCCGATTCGTCACCAGTGACCGTCCCTGTACTCCTGTTCCAACAAGACACCAGGGACCGATCACACACCGCTTCGCTTGGGGTCTTCTAGGCAGCATGTGAGAATTTGACGACCTTCATCTTCTCCAAGTTATAAGATCTACTAAAATGAAATACATATTGGTATCAGGAGGTAGCCAGGCGGTATTCCTTGCCTCACATAGAAGTTTCAAGCTCAGATATCCCTCAGAAACTTGCTTATCATACTTAAAGCATCTAGTACGGGCTGCTTCTGGAGTAGGCTATGGCCATCATGCAATATCTTCCGTGGATGACCCTGGGATATGGAGTTTGTTGAAGGTCCGTGGCCTTGCTCACCTCACCATTCTTGGCCCGCATCGCTGCATCGTACCTGAAGTCCGAAAGTGGCTCAAGGCGCGGACACACAGAAGAAAACTTTTCCCATGGGTTGCACTCGGCGTGGAGAATCCTGGGCCAAACAATTGGATAAATCGCTTGAAGTATCAAGACATCTTGCCACACTGGCAACAACAGTACGAATGGCTTGACACGCTAGGTACAAATACTTGCACGACCGAGAGACAGTCGCCGCGAGATGTGCAAAGCAACGGCTGGCCTATTATAAGCGGCGAAGAAGATGGCCTATGCTGTCAAAAAGGAGGAGGAGCTGCATGTGAACCAAATGGAAGGTGTACACGCTACAAATGTCAAGAGCCTGCGATGGCTTTCATCTCGCAGGGCATAATGAGATCAAGATTGTATAGTAGAAGGAATTGCCATGCCTGTGAGGAGTTCGAATGTCGGTTGCTGGTTTTGTATATTTAATTCCTTCCCCAAATCCCCAAATTACGTGAACTTTTCAATGTAGCCTGGCGCTCTGCACTTTTCTGGCGCCATCGTAGAAAATAGAGCATACGAAATAGCAAAAAAAAAATAGCAGAAACATACAACAGTGGGTATTCGCTGGTGGTCACCCACCCAACTACTAATCCACCGATCTCAAGGTTATGTATGGCAGAGCGGACGGGATGCCCAGTTCTCTTGAGTCTATGGTCGTATGTGACAATTAATTGATTGTCGTAGTATAAGAGAGGCTGTTATCACGGAACGAAATAGCAAAAAAGATAAAAAAACATACAACAGTGGGTATTCGCTGGTGGTCACCCACCCAACTACTAATCCACCGATCTCAAGTTTATGTATGGCAGAGCGGACGGGATGCCCAGTTCTCTCGAGTCTATGGTCGTATGTGACAATTAGTTGCGTATTCATCTTTGAGGATCCATGAACTGCCTCCTTTGCTTTTAACCTGACAATTTCCCACTAGATGTAGTGACCGTGTTCGCCGAGACATAGCCGGCATGCTAGACATGTATGTATGTGCTTGCATTAACGCACGCATCCTGGTACCATACAAAACGCACATGAATGACCTCAACAGGTGGCCGAGACCGTCTCTTGAATGGGCTTCCACGCATAGAACTGCGAGAATGTAATGTCAAATTCTGACTCGACCGCTTTTAACCACAAATAGTCATTTGAGTAGCCACGCTTCCTACAACAGACGTAATATCAGAACGGCCCAAGACTCCAACAGAGCATGATATCCACGAGAACAAACCTCGGTAAGTTTCTCCAACGAGCAGTATGACAGTACAGTAAGACGGGGACTCGACATCCCGCGCACCGGCCGGCCCCGCACCTGACCCGCAATCATAGGAACAGGCTTCATGGCGGACTATAGAGAACCTCCGTCTCAACACAATATATATTCCCATATACTCTCAATTGACACCTCAAAACAACCAATTGCAAACCCACTACCACATCCATAACCACCACAACCAATCCCACCTACACTACCACAGCTATGGAGTCTATCCGCGCCTCCCCCCTCCTCCCCCCAATCATCGCCCTGAACGCCTGGACCCTCGTCGTCGAAGGCTGGATGTTCGCGACGCGCCTCCCCGTCTACGCGCGCCTCAACCTCGCCGAGAAGAACACCCTCACGCGCGAGGAGATCAACAAGATCATCCCCGCCTCCGTGCGCTGGAAGGCCGAGAACTTCTCCAACCTGTTCGAGCAGCCCACGCAGTTCTACGCCGTGGCGGTGGTACTGGCGATGGCGGGCGGTGGGAAGACTGATGCCCGCCTCGCGTGGGCCTATGTCGCAGCTAGGGTCGCGCATAGTCTGGCGCATAATACTACCAATAATATTACGAGGCGCTTTGGGTTTTATTTGATTTCGTCGGGGTTGGTGGCTGCTTTGACGGGGAGGGCGGCGCTGTTGCTGGCGGCTTGAAGGAGGGGTATTGGGCTCGAGGCTGGGGGGATGGGGTTCGGCTTTGCGATATGGTATGGCTGTGCGGCGGATCTCACTTATTTATGTATTCAATGTTCTCTATTTCGATGCTCTGAGGCTTGAGGAGGAGCATAGGTCGGGCTTAGACCACTCTTTCTAAATCAATTGTACATATATTACAGTGATATTCGGCCAAATTGGCCCGCATGCCAAGCCATTCCATTTCCGTGCTCTTCATTATCGCAACGTTTATTAGATCCTAGTCGCTTTAAAATGGGTGTCACATTCAAATGAAAAGCTCGGATTAATAAAATGAGTGTAAGAATGATAAAGATGGTAAGAGCATTTGCAACAGTAACTTCTCCACCCTTTTGCAATTGGAATCCTCCTTCTCTCTTCCGCTTTGTCTTTGCTTGAGATATAGAATAAATTGAACGGAGATCACAACGTGCAAGCTCTCCCGCAAATATACCTGCCTTTGCTCCTTTTATAAATGCCTGAAGTGATTCCCATTGATCTATAGTTGTAGTTTCTATATCGAAGATTTGGAGAAGATAATCTCCATGGCGTAATAGCTTCTTTGGATCTTGTGGAGTATTGCTAAAATCTGATTCTTTGTGAGATTGGGAGAGAAAGGAATCTGTATCTTCTGGCCGTATTGGTGATGAACTTGAAATGTTGATTTCGAAGGGCTTGAATTCAACAACCTTTTGCAGGGGTATATCTGGATTAAATGGTACAATGCCTGATGTAAGGACACAGGGCACCCAGCTCACAGTAATAGCATATGAGAGTGCGAGTCGGAGGCTAAACGGATGCTATCCTATAGGTCTACTACGAAGGATACAAAAAAGATGAAGGGGGAACCCCGTTGAGTCTGTTTCCTTAACTCCCGAAACGGGCCCGACTCGGTTATCCCAACCCTAGCCCTGAACCTTCCACCGCAACAGGTCTACATCAGCCCTGAACCCTATACACTTACCGTCCCCCACTATAGTGTAACTCGCTATATGATCCTCTACTGGTTCGAAACCCCACCGAGTCGGATTCCATGTTTGTAGTGACCGTAACAGTTCTGAGGTTCTTCGAGTATCTAGGTACGGAGGCATCCTTACACCTGATTTTCGAAATGCAGAGAGGATTGTAGTTCTTGTAAAGGTTAGATCATGCATCTCTTGAAATACATGAAAAAACTCAACACGGTCAAATGTCATATCGCCAGTTCTTGCAGATCGGTCAACCATTTGCGAATGATAGTGTTTGAAAGGTTGGAAAACTTGAACATCAAGTGGCTGAAGTAAATGAGTTGAATGAGGTGGAAGGCAGAATGGGATGATTTGATTTGCAAAAGCATAATCAATGAAGTCTTTTGTAAAATGAGAGAGATGTCCGTCAAGAAGGAGAAGTCGATATGTTCCCTTTATTCCTTCCTTTGAATAGAAATCAAAATGCTTCAACCATTGTAAAGCAATCTCATCATTTGTATAGCCAGAATCAGAAACTGTAATTGTAATCCGAGAGTCGACATTTGTAGCAATCCATTTTGAGGAAATAACTCGAGCGGCAACAATCATGTAAGAGGGAATATATCTACCTCCGCCACTTATACACTCAATAAGCATCTGTATTCAAGAGTACTACTTGAGACAAGTCCACCGACGGTTCAAGTAAGCTGTCTACAGCCTGGTTGCAAATACTCGCCAGCAGCTCAAACACAAGCTCAATCTACTGCGTCAACTGGGAATCTTTGGAAACACTATAATCTAAAGCATAAAGCAATTGTGTATGCTCTTAGAAATAGGACACCAACACCCTCACAGTCTAGTAGTGCATCGTCGTTTTTTGAGCCTAGAAGACCACCTATCAATGAGATACGACCAGCAACCAATCCAGCAAAATACCGAGAACTAGTACTATCATTAGTAGTATCTGACAACTTGCCCTTACGCATTGTCAAAAGCTATTCATATCGTCAGTTAATACAGTTCTTAAACCCATCTGTATTATCACTTTCCTCAAGGACATTACACAGAGAGCTACAACGCCAATTCTCATATCACCGAGGCATACTACAACTAGAACTCCACTCTCATATTTTAAATGGAGGCCGGATATCTATAACGACAGATGCATGGTCTGCTCGGAACTATACTGAGTATGCTGCTGTTACTGCTCATTGGATTAATGAGAAATGGCAACAAAGGTCAAAGTTGCTTGATGTAATACATCTTCAAGAGCCTATTTGTAATGGTGGGTGCACCAGATGTGAGAATCTAGCCACCCAAGGAAGGGATGAATTTACTAAGACAACACACTGTCTTAGGAAACAGAGCCAAAGGGTTGTAGCTTAGACTATTCCACAACGCAGCAATCAGGTGTATGATGTGGTGAAGTGGTTTAGACAAGTTGCAACAAATGTTGAGTCTGAGAACTCAGGGGTAAGTCAGAGGTTAGCACCTCACTGACTTTTCAAAAACAGAGAATAACAAGATCAATGCTTGGAAGCTTGGAAAAGACGTAGAAGTATGTGCTAGTCGATTTACTGTATTGTCTGCTTGCCCTTTCTTAAGGAAAGGGCAATCCTATTTATGCCAAAGGAGTGTAGTTCTCTCATTTTCCATGACTTTCCATGACTAACCAGGCTTGGTAAATGTATTAGAAATCAAGTGCGACCCACAACTAGCTTGCTAATCATGTAGTGAACGTAAGAGAATCCCATAGAACCATCTCTTGGGTTCCTAGCCTATAGGAAGTGAAAAGGAGGTCCAAGGTCAGAGTACCTATAGACAAATTATGTCATAACTTAACCAATCTTGTGGGTAACTAAGGAGCGATGACGTGTAATGAATCATAGAGGGTTGTAGAAGCTTCTAGAGCTATCGTTCATGTTCCTAGGCCTCTAGTTGGTAGAGATATGCCATGTGGTAGTATTGACCCACCCCCTTAAGGAGGAGATTTTCTTAATAACTTGTTCAATGAGTGTCCAAATGATATGCCGTGATGTATGTAGCATAAACAGATGTAGTAGAAGAGTTTGCAGCAATCGTTGAGTAGTATTGCTTCTGTTGTTGGTGTGATAAGCCAAGATATGTATGGTGACTTGTAGGTTTGAGGAGGAGATTTCTAAGTTTGCTCTTGAGTTTGATAGCATACTGAGTGCAACGAATGTCAGTATGACATAGCCCTGCTAGCCTGAATTGGAAGCTGCTCTTTACGACTGGCAGAGGCTTATTGAAGAGCGTGGCGGTATTACAACTACAGAAATCTTACAATCAAAGGCGAAGATTATCTGGAATCAGCTACCACAATACCATGGACTACCTACACAAGAATTTAGCTACGGATGGTAAAGTTTCGACAACAGCATAATAGTTTTATATTGAACCCTACATGGCGAAGCTGGATCTATTGGTGTTACTGCAGAAGAACAAATGAAGGCTATATAAACTATTGCAGGGGAGTTTTTAGAGGACAATATTTACATGGATGAGACTGGGCTTTACTGGAGGATGAGCCCTTCAAAGGGCTTTACAACACGATCAATTCTAGGACAGAAGAAGGACAAAGCACGCATATCAGTAGCCATTTGTGTTAATGCTGCTGGAACAGATCGACTTCCTCTTTGGTTTATTGGAAAGGCTAAAAAGCGTCAAGCTTTACAACATGTTGATGTAGGGGCAATGGGTGGGGTTTGGAGGTGGAATAAGAAGGCTTGGATGAATCAATTTTATGGCAGATTGGCTAAATGCTTCCTATACTCATATTGGTACGTCACGTTCTATACTGCTTACAATGGATAACTTCTCGGCCCATATTGCTGCAGTGGAATCGATGCCTCCTCCTCCAAACATATGAATTATCTGGCTTCCTCCAAATGCGACCAGTCAATATCAACCTCTTGATCAAGGTATTATAGCCTCTTTAAAAAGCTATTATCGTCGGCAATGGCTCAAGTTCATGCTCAAATCTTTTAGCAACAACCTGGATCAAATCAAAACAATGACAATACACTTTGCAATTCGCCGGCTTATTCGATCATGGCATCACGACGTTACAAATACGACTATCTACAATTGCTTTCGAAAAAGCACGATTCTTTTACGCCCAATACAGCTTCCTATACACCCACTTCCTGTTCTAAACGACTTATATACTCAAGTACAACAAGCTGGTCATATATTAGATGCTATGGACCTTTCGAACTTTTTGAATCCAGCGGAGGAGGGAATACAAGAGGTGGAGGGAGGCTTAGATGAGGACACAATTCTACAGGAGGCAATGGCTCCATATATACCAGTTTCCGATGCTCAAGACGATGACGATGAGGAGCCCCAGCGCCCTGTGCTCACCACACAGAACGCTATACAAGCCCTCCAAGTTCTGATTGAGTTCTCAGAATCTGAGAATAGCGGCATCACGGATCCAGCACCATTTTTGCGCTCTTTAGAGCGTGTAGAGAGGCAATTAGTGGCCAAACAGGCCAATGACTTGGTTCAAGGCACGTTGGATGGATGGATGGTTTAGCTGAGGGGCTACTTCGGGTCTACTTCGGATCACTTTCTTTTAACTTGATATTACGGAGTACTATAACTCGATATATTTATGCATGACCAATTACATCGACTTGACGAGATAATACTGTACGGCAAAATCACCACTCCCGGGGTCCATCTCGGGATCATCGACCCCGCCCGATTCCACCATCTCCCACCTTCCTTCCCTTACTTAGTGCTAAACTCGTGCCGAACCTACCAAAGCTGCTTGCGAGCACGCAATCCGCACCAATGGAAAAACTAACGCCGCTCCCCCCTCGCTGTCGTATCAGCAGTCTGCACCCCCCCCTAAAACCCGCATTTGCCCTCGAGCATCCCCGTTCCCACTCGATCTCGACGTCCTGCATACCGAAGGTCATCATGCCCTCAACGACGCCCCCCCCAAGAGGTCATTCCGCTGCTCATTTCTCCTTCTTCGCTCTCTCCTTCCTCATAAACTCCTCTGTAGCTCTGCCTGCAGCTCAGCTCTATATTATTTCCCTGCCCCCCCATCCCCCCACCCGCCCTGCCCATCACCTCCTCTTCCGTCAAAACGTACTTCTGCACAACCTACAGCACCGGACTGCGGCCCCAACCGCGCGCGCCCATCCACTCGTCATACATACCGCCACCTCCCTCTCTAGACGAGGCTGAAGACGGCAGAAATAAACCCGCAATCCAACCCGCACGACACGTGATGTCGCACCACCACCGCTCACCCTCGCCCATCGCCCTGGCGCCCGCCTCGTCGACGAGTTACACGAGCGACCCCGAGAAGAAGTCTCCGCGCCATGGCGACGACGGGGAGAAAGGCAGCCTGGGCGGCGATATCCTGCCCGCCTACGCCTACGAGGATGAGATCGTGCCCATCAAGGCGGACAAGTTGAACCGGACGCTCACAGCGCGGCAGGTGCAGATGATTGCAATAGGGGGCACGATCGGTACCGGATTGTTCCTCGGGACGGGCAAGAGTCTGGCGACGGGCGGGCCGGCGAGCATGTTGATCTGTTATATTGTTATTGGGGTGATTGTGTTTTTGACGATGTTGGCGCTGGGGGAGATGGCGAGTTTTATACCAGTGGCGGGAAGCTTTTGTACTTTTGCGGGGAGGTTTGTGGATGATGCGTTTGGGTTCGCTTTGACGTGGAATTATTGGTTTAATGATGCTGTGAGCACGGCGGCGGATTTGGTGGCGTTGCAGGTGGGATTTTTCTCTCGATTTCGTGGTGATGGGGAGTGGTGGTTGCTGACTTTGTTGTAGCTGGTTTGGAGTTATTGGCATACGGCGATGCCAGGATGGGGATTGAGTTTGATTTTCTGGGTGGTGCTCATCCTCGCCAATATCATTACTGTGAAAGCGTATGGCGAGGTAAGTTTTCCTCGTTATCAGTGGGGAGCTATCATAACTAATATGTCTGATAGCTTGAATACTGGCTCAGTCTTCTGAAAATCATCACAATTATCGTAAGCACCGCATCAAAACAAACTAGTCTACACCGCATCACTAATTCCCCCAGATCTTCATCTTCCTCGGCATCGCCGTCAACGCCGGCGGCAACATCACCCACCACTACATCGGTGGCGAAAACTGGCGTCTCCCCGGCGCCCCCTTCGTCGGCGGCATAGGCGGCTTCGCCTCCGTCTTCGTGACCGCCTCCTTCGCCTACGGCGGCACGGAATCTATCGCCATCACCGCCGGCGAGACGGCGTCCCCGCACAAAAACATCCCCCGCGTCATCAAAAACGTCTTCTGGCGCATCCTCCTCTTCTACGTCATCTCCATCCTCCTCATCGGGCTGGACGTCGCGTATACCACACCGGGCCTGTCGAGTAAAGAGACGGCGACGTCGCCGTTTACGCTGGTGTTTCAGATGGTGGGGTCGAATGTCGCGGGGTCGTTTATTAATGCTATGATCATGACCTCTGTGCTTAGCGCGGGGAATCACGCATTGTTCGCGGGGACGCGTCTTCTTTACACACTAGCTGTTAATGGGCACGCCCCCGCTTTCTTTGAGAAGCTGAACCGCAACCGCGTTCCCTGGGTTGCTGTCCTGGCTACGAGTTTGATCTCCGGCCTCTGCTTCGGTGCCTCCTTCATTGGCGCGGGCCAGCTGTGGACGTGGCTCCAGAACATCGTCGGTGTATCAAACCAGCTATCCTGGATCTCCATCGGCATCGCCTCCCTCCGCTTCCGCGCCGGCCTCGAAGCGCAGGGAAAGACGCACCTCCTCAACTTCAGGAACTGGACGTACCCCTACGGCCCCTGGTTCGTAGTCATCGGCTGCAGCTTTCTCGTGCTGGTGCAGGGATGGAGTTGCTTCAGTCCGAAATTCAATGCGGTGGATTTCGTGAGCTTTTATATTGAGTTGCCGGTCATGCTGATCATGTTTGTGGGATGGAAGGTGGTGAAGAGGACGAGGATTGTGGGGCTGAAGGAGATGGATTTGGTGACGGATGTGTATCATCCGGAGCCAGGGGAGGAGGATAGGGATGCGGCGGTGGGGTGGAGGGGGAAGGCGAGGGCGGTTTTGAGGTGGATTTTCTGAAGAGGAGGGGGGGGTTGAAGGGGAGGGGGGAGGGGTGTTGGCGTTTTTGGGTTTCTTATACCAGGGGTTTCTTGTTGGGGAGGATATGGATACGAAATGGTCGGGTTTACGGGATATGTTGGTGGCAGATATGTTTGGTGCCGGAGAGGGGTTTCCTGGCTGGCACGAGCTCGAGAGGGAGAGGGAGAGGGAGAGGGAGAGGACGTTTCTCACTGCCTCCCTCGGACAGAGATGGACACAACATCCTCACCACCACACCACCTGCTCTGCCTCTCCGGAGCTGGATCTTGAAACAATTCACCTACTTCTGCACTCACCCCTCACCACCGACCTGCTCCGTTGCTCAACTGTTTGGATGGATATACGTACCCTCGCACCTCAGATCACACCATGCCGCCCCTCAATCTCACAAAAGCACGTGCGACACCTCAGATCACACCATCCCGCCCCTCAGTCTCGCAAAAGCACGTGCGACCCAGCGACAATCTCATCATCTTTCTTCCCCCCCGCACCCCACCACCAAGTCGATCTTGGCGTACAAGGGTCTTGGCGTGCAAGGGTGCCTTTGTCCTCCTTTGTCCTCCCACCCAAACGCGAGTACCACGCTAGACAGACGCTAAGGACGTGGGTTATGTAAGGAACGGTTTTATCTACAACTGTCACCAACCACTTCCATCCATCTCTTGCCACTTTATACCAGACTACACCAGGTCACCAGCAAGCCATTATACTCTACCACCTCGCTGCCCTACTACCTTGACAAGATTACCAGCTTCAAACTCGCACTCGGAGCTTCAAAGCAATCACACATCACCGCTGTTTGCGCGCAAGCAAGCCAAAAAAAAAAAATCGAGGTCCCCCCACGTCAGATTCAGCCACATCTGACTATCCCCATACCTCACTCAATCGATCGATCAACCCCCAACTTCACTTTCATATGCGCGCCACAAACTATCACACACAACACCACCACCAACTCTCCCTGCAACCCGCCACCATGGCACCAGATCTCAACTCCGTCCCCCTCTCCCCCTACCCACCCGAAGCCACCGCCACGCCACCCCCCGCCCCCTCGTCCAGCACCCCCCAGCCAAATATCCTCTACATCATGGCCGACCAGCTCGCTGCCCCACTCCTCAAGATGTACAACCCCGCGTCCCAGATCAAGACCCCGCACCTCGACGCCCTCGCCTCCTCCGCCGTCGTCTTCGACTCCGCCTACTGCCCCTCCCCCCTCTGCGCCCCCTCGCGCATGAGCATGGTGACGGGCCAGCTCCCCACAAAGATCGGCGCCTACGACAACGCCAACAGCATCGGCCCCGACGTGCCCACCTACGCGCACTACCTGCGCGCGGCGGGCTATGAGACTGCCTTGGCGGGGAAGATGCACTTCATCGGGGAGCAGCTGCACGGCTACGAGAAGCGTCTCACGAGTGACATATACCCGGGTGACTATGGGTGGATGGTCAACTGGGACGAGCCGGATCGCAGGCTCGAGTGGTACCACAACGCCAGCTCCATCCTGCAGGCCGGGCCGTGCGTGCGCAGCAACCAGCTCGATTACGACGAGGAGGTCATGTATAAGAGCTCGCAGTTCCTGTACGACCATGTGCGTCAGGGCGACCGGGCTAGGCCCTTCTGCTTGACGGTATGTACCCCCCTCCTTCTTCCCATGTCTCGGTTTAGAGTTTTACCCACTACACCCTCCTGCATGCACCTCACTATCGACGCAGCTCGCTGATTGGTGCCCCCTTTTTGTATACAGGTCTCCCTCACCCACCCCCACGACCCCTACACCATCGAAGAGCAATACTGGGACCTCTACGAAGACGTCGACATCCTGCCCCCCACCGTGACCATCCCCCGCGACGAGCAGGACCCGCATAGCAAGCGGCTGCTCAAGGTGTGCGATCTGTGGGATGCTGAAATCTCGGAGAAGCAGGTTAAGCGGGCTCGGCGCGCGTATTATGGCGCGGTTAGCTATGTGGATGATTGTATTGGGCGGCTGCTGAAGGTGCTGAAGAAGTGTAAGTTGGATGAGAATACTATTATCGTCTTCTCGGGGGATCACGGCGATATGCTGGGGGAGAGGGGTTTATGGTACAAAATGTCCCTCTTCGAAGCCTCCGTCCGCGTCCCGCTGCTTATTCACCACCCGGCCTCTTTTGCGCCGAGACATGTCAGCTCGCATGTGTCGACGCTGGATATCCTGCCTACCCTCGTCGACCTCGTCGGCACGAAACTGTGGGATACGCTGGACATCGACGGACATAGTCTCTACCCCTTCCTCCGCGGCGCAGCAGCCAACACCGCGAAGGATACCGCGTACGCCGAGTACTGCGGTGAAGGCACCATAGCGCCGCTGATGATGATCCGTCGCGGGAAATGGAAATACGTCACCTGCCCCGTCGACCCGGAGCAGCTCTACGATCTCTCCGCCGATCCGCTCGAGCTCGTCAACCTCGCCCTACCCTCCTCCAAGAGCACCGCCTCTTCCACCACCGCCAATTCCGCCCTAACCAAATCCACCACCTCCCCCCTCGAAGCCTCCACAGCCCTCTCCGCCTTCCATGCCGAAGCCAGCGCAAAATGGGATTTCCCCACGATAACCCGCTCAGTGCACCACTCGCAGCGTCAACGCACCCTAGTCTGGTCCGCGCTCACGAAGGGGAAGTTCACGAGCTGGGATTATAACCCGATTGATGATGGGAGGGAGAAGTATATTCGTTCTCACTTGCCGTTGGATGAGCTGGAGTTGAGGGCGAGGTATCCGGCGGTGGATGAGAGGGGGGTTGTTAGGGGGGGGTGGTGAGGGAGGAGGGGGGGGAGGTTAGGGAGGTTGTTATGTAAGGGGGGAGGGGAGTGTTTTTATCTTCCTCCGTTGACGAGCCTCGCCGTCTCTGCCTCCTTCAGTCTTTTGAAGGCTCGTTTTTTTTTGTTTTGTGTTTTTTGAAAAAAAGCGGCATCGCGTGTGTGCTTGCGAAGGGGGGATCAACATCATTGAAGCGAAATCTTTCTTCTCCAGCGAGCGATTGGGTGCGGCTATTACCACGGGGCGTTTGGGATATGTTTTGTTGTCTTTGCTTGGGGTTTTTATGGAGAACTGCTTTTATTCTGCCTTGTTTGTTTTTGGGTCTTGCACGTTTCTTTTATTTTGGCCTGGAGATTATCGGACTTTGAAGAAGGAGGAGGGGGGGGTTACACCACCCAACCCACCTATACCATCACAGAGGCACGGACATATTTGAAATTGAACAAAAACCATGGTCCGAAAGGAGGGGTGAAAGGAAAGCAGGATGGAAAGAATAAACTCGGGAGGGAGGGAGAGAGGCAAGACGAAAGATCGATCTCACATACTTACCTACCTTACCTTACCTCGGATATAGCCATGAGCGCGGAGGGGAAACTTGGACATCACATACCCAGGATCCAGGCTTAGAATAGAAGAATGAGAATGTGAATTCAAAATACAACAAATCAAACATGGGGCCTGTTAAAGGAAGTGGGAAGGGTAGTTAGTCACTTTGTAGTGTCTTAACATCCGTGAAGACACCACGGCTACAACCATCTCTACCTGAGACTTTCATCCTATCTTTATCCCATTCAACACATCATCCCGCCATTTCACATCCTGCATCCATCCACGCATACACTAGTACATGTATTTATATAAAAAAGCAGTTGCGTCTTTCTTTCTATCTCAGTGTCTGCTCTCTGCGTGGGTATATCCCCCCCTTTATTCCGTGCCCAAAACGAATTTACAATACACGCACTATAAACACCCCTTAATACAACCCCCCCACCCAAAAAACACCCCATCCCTTAATTCGTTGCCTCATCCTATTCCCCCTAATTAACCCCCCCCCCCAAGAAGAAAAAAAAACACACAAAAGACGGTGCTCACGTAAAAGCCTTCTGCCACTTAACCAGCTCCCCCGTCAACACATCCATCATCCCCAGCAAACTCAACTCCCCAAACTCCCTCGGCCTATCATCATCTGTCCTCGTATCCCCCCTCTTCCCCCCCCACCACCTCCCGCATTATGCCCCGCACTCCCAAAATCCACCCCAACAACCCCCCCCAACGCCCTAACAACCCTCTCCGCCTCCCCCGTATCCCCCATCTCCGCCATCTCCACTTGCGTGCGCGAAATAAACTCCAACATCCCCGCAACCCGCCTCCTCATATCCAATATACTCGTCTTTCCCCTCCCTCCCCCGCCCGCTCCACCACCTCTCCTTCCTTCTTCCCCCCCTCCTCTACCCCCTGCTCCTCCTACTCCACCTTCACGACTCTCGCTACGCCGCGGCGAGGCGTTGGTAGTGTTATGCGAGTCGTCGGCGTCGCGGTCGCGGGTGTACTGGTTTTTCCCTACTTTTCCTTTGCGGGTGTGGGCGGGGCGACCGCCTTTTTTGTGGCTTGTTGTTGTGCTTGTTGTGGCGGCGGCGGTGGTAATGGTGTTGGTTGTTGTGTTGGTGGTTGTGGTTGAGGGTGTTGTTTTTGGCGGGGGAGGGGAGGAAGGGGGGATTGATGCGGGGGGTGCGGGAGGTGTGTCTGTGGTGGTGGGTTGGGGGACGGTTGTGGAGGGGGCGGTGGGGGTGGGGGTGGATGGGAGGAGATCTTCTGGTGGTTCGAGGTCTAGTGGGGTAGGATGTTAGCTTGCTGATTTATGGTAGATTTGGGGGGTATGGTAATAGGAGGGGGGATAATCTAGGAAGTAAGGGGCAACATACCATCAACCCTCCTCCTCTCCGCCCTTCCCTTCCGCTTATTCGCCGCCTCGAGCCTCGTCTTCTCCCGCTCCTCCCTTGCCTCCTTCTCCCGATGATTCCGCGCCGCCGCGCCGCGTATCTTCTTGGCGCCTACTGGTCGTGTTGTCTCCGCGTCGTCGGAGTCGTTTGATGGGCCGAAGGGGGTGAGGGCCTCTTTCTGGGGGGAGGGGGAGTTCGAGAGCGTGCGTTGGCGCTTGGGGAAGTCTTGCTTTCTGCGCGCGGGGGTTAGTATGGGGTGTATGGATGCGTGGATTTATGAGGAACGGAAATGAGGGAATGAAGATAGACGTACTCTTCGCTATCGCTTCGGCCGCGTTTGCGGCTTGTGCCACCACCGCCGCCGTCGGTGCTCTCAGACTTCTCGCCCTTGCTCGCCTCGATGGCGCGCCGTAGCTGCTCTTCCTCGTCGTACGCGGCGTCGCGGCTGTTCATCGTGGAGCGCCGCTTCTGGTTCGCGCTCATCATGCTGCTCGATGTCGGGCGGCCGTTCTTGCTGCCTGCGCGGGGGGAGCGCGTGCCGTCTTTCGAGAAGGAGGCGGCGCGGCTGGCGCGGCTGGTGCTGCGCGACAGCGTCGTCTGGTGGTGCTGGTGTTGGTGCTGGTAGAGGGGGAGGTAGTGCGAGTATTTTTGCCTAAGTCGCGACATGTTAGGGAATGCGGTCTGGGAAAGTTTGCCTGTTGCGGGCAATGGATTTGAGGTTGGGGATGGGTTGGAGGGGAGGATTGCGACAGCCTGGTCTCATAAGGCCGTGCCACGTCTGCCGAGGCTTACTGTTGCGCGCGCGGTGCTGCGCAATCAGAGGAGATAAGAAAACTCACCCATTGGAGGCTGTAAAGACTTTGTGAAGGTCGCTGCGGCATAGTTCGCAAAAGTATTCGTCGGGGCTCATGTCCTCGTTCTTGATCCCGACGCAGCCGCCGTGCTGCCACACCTTGCACATGTCGCATTGTAGGAAAAACCCGGCCAGATCCTCGGTGTAGTCTTCGGGGGTTATAAGGTCGGGTTCGACGACTTCTTTGATGCCCTTCTTGTCCTCGTCGCTGATCTGAGGCGGGCCGGGGTAGTCGTCGCTGCCACAGATGCAGCGAACGGCCTCATCATCCTCGCCAACAGGTTCGCTAATGCCGTTAGGCATGTCGGGTCGCTTGTCTTTCAATTCTTTATCTTGTTCGTCCGTCTGCCCACGTTTCCGCCGGCGTGTCGATAGCGACTCTTCGATGGACGACGCGACTCTGTCGTCGAGAGGCTCCGAAGAGAGTGATTCGTTGGAGGTGAGCTTCCGCGGCGATTCGGCTTTCGCAGATGTTCGTGTGTTCCGCTCTCCTCTGCTGGAAGAGTTCGACGAGGCTGAGGAGTGATGTGAATTTGAATTTTGCTGTGTGAGGGGACGAGAGCGGATAGAACGGCGAGGGGATGTGCCTGCCATTGTTCGGGTGGAAGAAAATGAATGACGGGGAGGCTAATGGATTCGCACTATAGTAGAGCCTCCCTCGCTCACTCGTAGGTCCCGTATCGAGCGATGTTGGTTGTTGGTTGAGCTTGTGTTGACCAGCGATTGTCCGTTCACTGTAGCTCCGAGTCTAAAAGACGGGCTATGGGTGGAGAGAGCGATGGCTGCAGTGGATGATTGATGGAGTTATAGATGGTAGATTTCAAGCAGAATGATCATGGACGCGCCAATGTTATATAGTAAAGGGCAAAGAAGGATATTTGGAAGGTTGGGATCAACATGGCGGAACATTGGGGGGGGACCTTCTTGTGTGCCTCTTGCACCGTTCCTCTTCGCATCGCTCGCGGGGCCGACGCAGTTGGTGCCTTATAATCGAGGCATCAAAGGCAACTAGTCTACTTTACCATAGTAGTTTACTCCAGTCTGGTCCAACAACTTGATGCCTTATATTTATACAATTCACACCTTATAACCAAGGCAACTTCGATGCTCGGCTGTGCGTGTCTCTGTGAGTTGTTCGTTGTACTTTTGTACCCGTCCATGAACCTCCGTTGAAGATTCTCAGGGAAATATCGCCGCTCACCACAAACACCCCCCGACATCTCTCCAAAGAGCTATTCCGCTGTGCAGACTTGGCTCATCGATACCCTCATTTTTGCTACTTTCGCTCTCTTCATCTGTCGCTGGTAGACATTTCGCCCGCTACGGAAACTTTCCCAAGGGTCGGTTCATGGGGCTCGATTAAAAGTACCTTCCAGTGGTTTTGTGTGCTGGAACTGCAATTAGTAAGAAGACCCTGTGGTACGAGGACGACATCTCCGAACCCCCAACAGCCCCCAGTGGTACCGTTAGATCAGTTAGATCAACTATCGCGGCCATACACCGGAGAAGGGACGACGGGCTTCTGTTCTGTTGATGTCAGAGAGGACGCCGTACTGATTGGGATTCTGTTCGTCTTCTAGGGCTTGCTTGAATACCTCGAAAGGGGTCCCCCAGTCGAAATTCTACAACTCGGGACACCTTGACCAATATTCGATGCAATAAGGACACCTTGACCAATATTCGATGCAATAAGGACGCTGAGAGTCACCGTAAGCTTCCCTCCAGCGATCTGGCTGCGATTTCCTCATATCCGCGACTGTCATGGGTAGGTTTGCTCTTTCCTCCTGTTTGCCTAACCCTCCTTCCCGAAACCCCACGACCATATGCCAGCACATCGCCCACCCTTCAATACTCACCTAGACTTCACCTACACCGATTATGGGCAGTTTCTACAGCTTCATACACTGGCTGACAACTCTCGTTCTCTGTTTATAGGTCACTACTCATCAGATACACGAGATCTCTCGCCAGATGCGATGGCAGCTGCATACCCCGACCGCCCCATCCGGCCGATGCCAAAGCGCCGACTGCGTGAGCGTCTCTCTCCCAATGTGGCAGACGCCATCGTATATCCGCCGACAGCCCCAGCGATAGCGCCTCTGTTCCACTACCCTTACCATGCACCCACGGAGGAAGACCAGTCCCCTAAACCTTATCCAGTCAATAGGACACGTGAGGATGATGTCGAGCACAACTACATATCCAGGCGGAACTTGAAGGAGGTGGATAGTGACGAAGAGTACACGGAACTAGCCTACCGAAGTCGTTACTCACGCCACTCCCCAGACCCTACAGGTCGGTCATACCGTTTCGTCCAAAAACCGGAGGCTGCCAAATATTCCAAACCTGATCCGCCGGCATCAACGACATCGTCCGCTGATGGGTATGATTCTTTCGAGAATACAAACAACAAGAAGAAGAGGAAGATCCCAACACCTGGCGACGCGATCTCGAACGGCATACTACAAGCAAATGATATGGCGTCCTTGACTATATCAAACCCGACGACAGAAGGATCGCCTGTCTGTGAAGAATCCAGTTCCGGCCCCGGGCAATATTATGGCCCACCTGTCAGCAATCTCGTCCAGGGCTTGTCTGGTCCAGGACGGGGGCGTTACGGACGAGTTCGAAGCGCAAGGAGCCCGCTTAGAAATTTATCAGATAACCCTACCAACTGGGCTAATGGCCGCACACCGCGGCAGAGACAAGCTCCATGGTCACCAGGTAAGTACCAGTTCCACTACAGGAATATATTCATCTTATTAATGGTTTGTTATCAGGCGAACCCGCAGGGATTATTTCGACAGCAATTGCCAATGCCGAAAGCAATTCGGCCCCCGTTTCGAGGGGCCAGGAGAACATGAGTCTTCTTCAAGAACAAGCTGCCCGAAAATCGAGCTCTACCGCTGCACAGTTTACCTTTACTTGCGACTCCCGAGTCCCTGGCACGGTAGCCTGGCCGAGGCCTCAAGCTTCCCCCCATGGCTCTGGCGGAAGACCGACGAACACCCACGGAACTCAGACAAGCCCTCCGCTTTCGAATGGATCGCTTCCACAGCAGCAAAACTATGATCCGTCGCAATCTCAAAACTTTAGAGAGAGACAGGGTCCTGTACCTCCCAAAAATAACCGCCGATCGGCAGGAAAGGAGTACCAAATCGCAGCTCGCCAGCGCCGGGAGCAGCAGGAGCTACAGAATTATCACCATCCGCTAGCACCTGAAGACGAATGGATCTGCGAATTCTGCGAGTACGAGAGGATCTTCGGCACACCACCGGAAGCTCTGATCAGGCAGTACGAGATGAAAGATCGGCGCATCCGCAAGCAGGAAGCTGAGAGACGGAGGTTACTGGAGAAGGCGAAGATGAAGGGCCGCAAGAGCAAGAAAGGGACGAAACCTGGTGCGAAGAACGCGGCAGCTACCCAAGACCGTCAAGCCCAAGGTGGGCGTCACGCATCAGCTGGTTCAAGCCATGCACCTCAAGGTGCAGGCGAGAGGTACTATTACAACGATGATGATATGACGTATGCACAAGATGACCATCCAGCGTCTCCGACGTACCCACTGCCTACAGTTGCACAGCATAAAGCGAGTCAAAACCATGACGAGAAACATACCAACGTCCAGGGCGGTGCAGGGAACTCGGAGGCACTGGCTAGCTAGCATAACGCCACCCATTCCCGCACTACCTCTTGTTGAGATATCTACTCGAGAGTGCAGGATGCCATCTCATTTTGTCAGGAGTTCATCGTTATCCCCCAGCACAGCACATTGCATCACCAGGCTCCTTTTCCTTGTCACCAGCAGCATTTTCGCACAGCATTCGATTTCCCGGCGCTCTTTACCTTTTATGGGCACTGTATAGAGAGGGGCCGAATTGTTTCACTGGGCCCGCTGTATCGGGTCTCACGAACATACGATTTCTTGGTCGTTCTCGCTTGTACAACATAATATTATCACCAACCAACCTATTTACTCTCCTCGACCGCCGCCGTCGCGCTGGCGGTGCGACAGAACTGGTCTAGATCCGACCTCTCGGAACACCTCCACTCTTAATAACGCAAACACACAACAGCTCGAAAACTTTACATCACGCCCCACTCACAGACAGTGCTATGAGATTCAACATTGCTTTCACGGGCAGTGTGACAGACAGCATTGATTACGATCGTTCGAACATGACGCCTTGGATGGATATATCTCTCTCATCCACCACTATCGCAGAAAACAGAACCTTTTTCTCGGATAGGAGATATCCGGCTCCTCTTGCATACAGCAGCTCCTCCTCGTTTGGGTGTTGGGATACAGGGAGGGGTTCTTGGACAGCATGCACGCTGTTTATTGGTGTGTTGGATTAGTACTGTTACTCCTATGACTACTGATTGTTCTTGGATCGTGGGCTGTGGGCTGAGGGCTTACGTATCTCGCACTGTTGTTAGTTAGTGGTAGAGTGTTAGAGTGAATTCAGAGGAGACTGTATAGATTCTTGCTTGTATGACTGGGTATTGTGAATTTAGTGAAGTAGTCGGCTATGTGAAGGAATGTGATGTGTATGTGAAGGTCCCAACGGCTTCAATCAATCACTGGTATGAGACTGTATGTAGAGTTGACAACGTAGCATCCCAAACACACGTAGGCATATCACAAAACCTTCTCCACTCCCCCATAAAAACAGTCGATGAGAGGGGGGTATCAGATTCACATTTCCGAATCTACTTCTCCGGCCGGGTCTGGGTCTGTCTATTAATACACCCTTCCATCCCCTGCACCACCCCCTCCCCAATCCAATAAAAGAGTAATATTTATAGTTTTTGTTTGTTTGATTTGCCCCTTTTTGCAAAAAAAGATGCATCATTCATTGTCCACGCCTATACTTTTTTTGCCCTGCTTGCCCTGCTGCCTGCTTGCCCCTTTGTCCAATTCTATGCATCCCGAACCAAGAAAATACGTGTGCAATGCTTGAAAACTCAAAATCCAAACGCAGAAGGGGGTTGATGGATCCAAAAATTTCAGGAAGCGGGTGAGAGATGAAAAGGGGGGAAGGAGGGCACCCAAAGCACCAGCAGTGCATGCGGACACTCAGGGCGTGGGGGAAGTGAGGATGGCATGGCGAACGACAAGGGATGAGGAGAGAGACAGCTAATCCTCAGTCAGATCGCCATACTCCCACATGCCCCTGCGCTCATCCTCCTTCGCAACAGTCTCCATCTTCTTCAGCGCCTTCAGGACATCCCCAAAGCTGCGCTCCCACGGCTTCAGCTTCCGCGGCACCATCGCGAGGCCCTCAGCCACGACCTCAGAGTTGATGCTCTCAGTCAGCTTATCGCTCGTTTTGGGATCAAAGAGCGTGACGTAGAGCGTCCCGTCCTTGTCCGTGTAATCCACATTTGCAACGAGCTCCTTGTTCGCCGTCAGCTCCGTGATGTACGCGATCGCGTCGTCGAGGTACTCCTTGCTAACCGGCAGCTGGAGGAGCGAGAGCACCGCGTCCTGCGCCTGCGCCTTCAGCTTCTGGATCGAGAACTGCGGCTGCAGCGGGCGCAGCTGGGCCCAGGGGATCTTCTCCTTGTTGCCGAAATCGATGTACTGCACCTCGGCCACCTTGGCGGGGCGGTCGTTGGCGCGGATGCGCGCGCGGTACCATTGCCCGTCCTCGCTGAACTTGGCGGAGACGAAGTCCCCGGCTTTGGGGTCGGCGGGGAGCCCGGCGTTGTTGGTAGGGTTGAGGTGGAACGTGCGGAATTGCGACATCATGGTGTCGAGGCTCGAGGTGCCGGTGCCGATGATTTGGAGCTTGAGCTTGCCCTCGTCGTCGATGTTAGTGATAATCACGTCGCGGTAGTCCTTTTGGCGTTCAACGAGCGCAGAGTCGCCGTTCGTGCCGTTCTCAGGGGCGACTTCAGCCGACTCCGCCTCCTCGTCTTGGGATGGGTCCCAGTCCTTCCACAGGCCCTTTCTCGCCGCCTTGGCACGACCTTGGGCGCCGAGGAGCTCCTGGGCGTTTCCAGACTGCTCAGCGGAATATTCGTGGACAGTAGCATATCCCTCCTCAACGAGAGCCTTCGCGAAGCTCTCACGGTTGACGAAAAGCTCACCGATAAATCCACCGACCTTGTCGATGTTGTGAACATCAATCTCGACGTCACGCTGGCTGCAACGCTTCGTCGCAAAGTCGTGTGCCTCCTGTCCGAAAGGTTCGCTCTGCTCACTTGGATTTCTTGCAGACTTCGGGGCTCTGATACCTCCAAGAACAAAGTTCAACTTTGCGCCTTCGCGTGGGATGAGAACTGTAAATCGCGAACCACTCTTCACGTAGTCAACGATTGCTGGGATCTTCTTTTGGCGTTGGAGAGTCTGAAGCTGCATCTTTGCCTTCTGAGCGGTCTCGGATGCATCAACATAGGTCTTGATAGCTGGGGCTTTCGGCGACCACATGCCCTTATTCTCCTCTTTTGCTGTCTCTTGTGCTGCCAGAAGTTCATCGTAGTTCGGTGCGCGATCAGTGTCGTCCCTCTTGTGGCGGATAATAGAAACCCATCCTTCCTGGGCGAGAGCGAGGCCAATATTCGTGTCATTCAGGGTGACAGTTGCGACATCCTTTGCGTCGTACCCATCCGTAGCTGGCCTTGAGCCATCAACACTCACGCGTACGTGCTTCCCGATGACCTTCTTGCGCAGAAATTCTTTGGCGGCATCTTTGAATAGGGCTTCAGAAGGCTCGTTTGTTCTTGGGCCTCTGACACTGGAGATGTTGATACGTTTCTCTACACCAGCTTTGTTTCGTACAAACAGGGTATCTGCGCTGAAAACACGGGTGACTATGACATCTTGTGCAGCTGCGCCAGATTTCGACTTGGCCACATGACCCTCGTAAAGGCCACGCTTATTAACTTGGGCATCCTTTTCAGCCTGTCTCAGTGCCGGCATTGCTGAACCCAGGAGGGTTGAGTGGTGATCCGAGCAACGGGCAAGGCCAGCAGCAAGCAAGAAATTCGCGATGCTGCCTTTGGGGTGCCTGACGGTGGCAATCAGTTGGTTTTGCGGGCTGACACCGAGGATGTCGACCTTCACGTTGCGTTGTAATAACCTAGTCTCGACAAATGCCTTGGCTTCATTTCCTAGGGGTTCGGCTGGCTGCACTTGTTGGTTTGACGGGTTGACACGTTCCGTGCTTGGTGCTCTTATACCAGCAACGAGAGTCATAAGTTGATAGTGCTTCTTGTTGGGCATTATTAATCGCACAAGCATCCGGTCGCCGCTGAGAATGCGCTCGACAACTCCATCCACTGACTGACCCTTGTATTCAGCCATGAATTCGTCGGAGTTGCCCAGGTCGTGCTGCACGTCGAGGTGCCCACTAGATGGCGACCAGACGCCCAGGTCTTCGGCGCGAGCTTGGCTTTCCAGAAGCTTAAGCTCATTCAGCAGTTGGACAGCTTTTTCTGTGTCTTCCTTGCGGCCAGCTGCATCCTTGATCTTCGCCCAGCCTTCACGGACAACTGCCTGCGGAAACTTCACTCCATCCTCGAGGAATACCACGCCAAACTGTCGCTTTGTGGTCGGAATCTCGTAGAGAACCTGGAATTGGATGTTCTTGCCAACCAAGCTCTTTCGTAGGTAATCGCGGCTTTCGAATGCCCATGGTTCATCACCAGTCTTGTTCAGGCGCGGTGCTGTAATGTAGGCCAGAGACAGGATCTTTTCTTGCGCTGGGTTGACGATGGAGGTGAGGATGATCGTGTCACCGCTCAACACAGACTTGACTCTGCCAGCCTGGACTGCCATTTTTGCGTATTGGGCGGGGGTTATATGCGGACGCTGAACCGATGATGACAATGTGACTGACGCAGGGGAGCTGCGGGGACTAGGGAAAGGAGCAATAAAGTTAGCGGACTGCGCTGATGAAGAAGAGTCTGTAGATTCAGGTGAAGAGGTTGCGGAGGAGTTCGCGGCCGTCTTGCTGAAAGGAGTGTTGTAGCCAATCTTGAGACCATAGGAGCGCCTGGGCTTCCTGGTGGGTGTGTTGAATTGGTATGAGCCGGTCCTGGGGGCCATCTTGACAATAGTTCAAGCCCCAGTGTGTTTGTGGCAGGTGACAATGACTGTGAAGCTCTGGCCGTGTGGATGAATGTGTGGTCAGGTTTGAATTTGAAAAGACATGATTGAACAGGCGATATTTATAAGAGTTCATGCATGAAGAGGTTCCAGGTTCCAGGTAGGCGGCAGTAATAGGTCAGGCAATCCCGCATTTTGTGAGTCCAAGATCCAGAAGAGCCAGGCGGATCAGTTGTGTCTTTGCGTTTGTTTGTGGGTTTCCGCATGATCCTCATTCCAATGCAGGTGCAACTGGCCAGAGAGTGCTGGAACAGGGAAGAAAGAGAGGGTAGTTTGACTTACCAAATTCACACAAGGTAGCAGCAGATATGCAGCTTGAAACTGGATATACAAAGGCGTATATTGAAGGGGCAGACGGTGGATATAAAATATATATCACTTTCTCAGAAACAGGTGGAGAGCAATTGAGGTTCTACGGACTTTCCTTGTGAATTCCCTGGTAAATATCCGAATACCATGAACTGTCCACAATTTGTTGTGCAGACGAATGTGGGGTTCAGCACGCAAGGTTACGACAGAGTTGATTGGTGGATAGCCGATTTTGGGGGGACCTTGTGCTGCCCATAGCAGTTTTTCAATATATTTACATGTTGCCGCGCCTGGCGCATGTATTATAAAATCATGAAATCATACCCCGTCGTTTGCTACACCCTCAGTCTCAAAATGCATATGCGCTGCAGGTAAAGCTCCATCTTCCCCAATTCGTGGTTCCGAGCACAGATGAGTATGCTCATACACGTATACTATGGTGATAATGGTGGGCATCTGGCCAGAAACGGACATCAGCCAGCATCGGCCATAGTTCAGCTGCCTCCTTCCTTCTTTCCGCACCCGCGTTAACCACTCAGTCTGCAGCATCGATCGTCGTCGTCGGACCATTGACCGGACATGGAGACAAGGGATGAAGGGTGGGGAAGTCGAGTCTGCAGGGCCAACAGACAGACAGACAGACACGAGCAGCGCACAGGAGAATGCACTGTTTATATGACCTGTGCCAATGCCATCCAAGATATGCGACAGCCATGAGATAATACTTGTCCCCTCTTCTCCACAAGAGATGCCGTCCCCCAGCTACTATCGCCCCGGCTGGCGGTTGGCGTGGGATTTCGGCTATTTGAGATCACCTCCCTATCTAGCTCTCCATCAGGGTCCAGATTCACCGGTAAGGGTTCGATCCTCTCTTTCCCCTTTCTTCAATAGCCATTGTTATATACACCCGAGGCCGAACAATAGTAGCCGGCCCCAACATCTACTCCTTCCGATCTACTTTTGGTTTCCTGCTTTCTTATCTCCCTGTTCTTCTCTTCTTGCTTCTTCTTCTTGCTCTTCTATATATCGGACTGCAAGTTCAACTTCAGATATTATCACCACATTTCGGATGCAGATGGCAATTATAGAGGAACAACCTGTTGTAAGTTCACTGACTTCACCCAACGACTCACATGTTCTGACCTCCAACAGGCTGCAAATGTCCTTGGTGTAAGTCCTCTTACTTCCACTTCACATAGAGATCTAATCTGAACCTTGATGTTTGGTGTAGACAATTGGCACGGGTAAGTCTTGCCACGCCTCCGGTCAATGTGTCTTTTCTAACTTGCAACAGTGTATGTTATATTCCCTTTAGGAGGCTCACTTTTACCACTTTACTGACAGTCACATGAAGATTATGGTGCATCCAAGTAAGGACATCCCCACCCCAGAGACGTCAGAATGAATCTATCATGAACACATGCTAACAACCCCACAGTTAATTCCACAGTATGGGCAAACCCCCCCTGTTCTATCAGCCATTGTATCCTAACCACCCAACAGAATCTGGTCAAATTGGAAGACCAAAGACACAGATGGCTTCCCACCTGCCATGGTCTTTTTATGGGCTATTGCCGCAGTCCCCATCGGCACATATGCCATCGTCCAAGTACGCTTTCAACAGATCTATGCTCTCCAGTCAAGGCCCTGTTATGATATACTAACGTCCAAAAGCACTTCAATACACCACTCCAGATCCAGCCTCAGCTCCTCTGCACGTTGTCGCTCATATCATGGGTTCAGATCCTCGTCTACGGAAAGTAAGATTCGGCCTTCCTCACATCCCTCTTCAGGGCCACATGTATTGTCTACATTACTGACTTGTGCAGTGGATGGTCTTGGTTTAAAGCTTCCGTCTATGGGATAACCACAGCCGCCATCTTTGGAGGCGCGCAGGCGGTATTGATCCTCACGCTGAGAGTACGTTTTTTCTTCCCCCCATCTCCAATCTCACTCCGCTGTTCCTGGGCAGAAAGCCAATTTGGCAATCCCAAGCAGTGTGGACCTCTTCGATCTTGTTCCCGGGGATCTACTCCCATGCGTCCCCAGAATGTTTCCAACTAACCGCCCAACAGCCCCTCTACAACCGCGGCATCGACTACCCCATGATAATCGTCGGCGTCATCGCCTCCATCCTCGTCGCCATCGGCCTCCTCCCACCCTACTACGAGATGTGGAAGCGCCGCGGCCGCGTCGTCGGCATAAGCCTCTGGTTCATCTTCATCGACCTCCTCGGCGCCTTCTTCTCCCTCATGGCACTGGGTATGCTCCCCCGCCCCTCCACTCCAATCCCCAAGACCCAATCAAGCAACGAACTAACACCCACCAGTCGCCCAACACGACTTCGACATCCTCGGCGGCATCCTCTACATCGCCGTCATAATCCTCGAACTCGGCATCCTCGGCTCCCACGGCATCTGGCTCGTGCGCACACGCCGCGTCCACCGCGCCGCTGCATTGGAGGGGAAGACTTTCGATGACGTCCTTGAGGAGAAGGCGCACGCTGGGACGACGTGGAAGTTTTCTGAGCGGCGGTTTTGCCTCAAAGAGGCTCGGAAGGGAAGGAAGGGAGGGAGGGGGGGGGGGATGTGGAGATGCAGGTTGAGCGGGGTGATGTGGAGACCTCGACGAACCCGTCTTTGACGACAGCGTCTTCGATAAATAAGAGTGAGCTTACCCTCTGCTGACGGATGAGAAGAGTGTAGGGTGGAAGCTGACACACAATACACAGATCCTACTGTGGCGGCTGACGGGGGCCAATGGTTCGAAAGCGCAGTCTGACGACCTTCTAACGACTCGATGAGATGTCACGGCTCTTGATGACCCAAAAGCGTTTTGACGACTTTTTCCAACAACTTATATACTTATTCTCTTGCTATTCTATTTTATCCGCTACCCCTGCCGCTCATCGACTTATGGACAGACGGCCGACACGGATACACACTCGTATATCCATACCGAGCCTCTCAAGCAGCGAATCTGCACGCACAATTCCCCAGGACGGCAGAGCGCGAGATTATCAGGGAAGGGAACGGGATTTTCTAATCACAAAAGTTTTTTGGTTTTTGTCTCCGAGATAGATAGATCGATTTTTCCTAGACGGATAGCGGGGGAAGGGGCATTACAGAAAATGAGCAGGCTACGATATACATAATCAGCAGCGTGTCTTTCAAAATAAAATCCCCAATCCGAGTGAGAAGTACCTACCTCTATATAGACCAATGTGAAAATCAAAGAACACTCACCTGTCACTCACACCCAGCCCACCTGCCTCCCTACAGCTCTACCCCCCGCAACCCGAACTACTGAATGGACGTCATCGTACCCAAGTTCGCACCCACTTAAATACCCCCTTCTACACACCAACCATAAAAACCCCGGTCGCTTAGCTCAGTTGGTTAGAGCGTGGTGCTAATAACGCCAAGGTCGCGAGTTCGACCCTCGTAGTGACCAAACCAGTCTTTTGTCATTTTGCTTGTTCAGCTTCTTTCTTTTTTGAACGTCAATTGTGTTTGACGTCGGGATTATTTTTTGGGCAAAAACTCGATATACCCAGTAAAACAGTAAATAAATTCTATATACCCAGTTCCATCCCACGTGACCTGCCCAAGCCCAATCTAGAAACTCCCCCCATTCTCATATGTGCCTGGCGTGTCTGAGCCAGCCCCAACAACGAGCAATGGAAGCTCGTCGTCGGGGCTGGCTCAGACACGCCAGGCACAACCCTCCTCGGGACAAACGGCAGTTGCCCCATCTTTGTCCCTCCTCTGGAGCTGCCAGGAGAACTTCTCCTTGACGGCCCAGTGTAATGGTGGGTGCACCAGATGTGAGAATCTAGCCACCCAAGGAAGGGATGAATTTACTAAGACAACACACTGTCTTAGAAAACAGAGCCAAAGGGTCGTAGCTTAGACTATTCCACAAAGCAGCAAAAGGAAAGGGCAATCCTATTTATGCTAAAGGAATGTAGTTCTCTCATTTTCCAAGACTTTCCATGACTTACCAGGCTTGGTAACTGTAGTTGACGTAAGAGAATCCCATAGAACCATCTCTTAGGTTCGTAGCCTATAGGAAGTAAAAGGAAAAGGGCAAGCAGACAATACAGTAAATCGACTATCACATACTTCCACGTCTTTTCCAAGCTTCCAAGCATTCATCTTGTTACTCCTTGTTTCTGAAAAGTCAGTGAGGTGATAACCTCTGACTTACCCCTGAGTTCCCAGACTCAACATTTGTTGCAACTTGTCTGAACCACTTCACTACATCACACACCTTGGTCCAAGGTCAGAGTACCCCTATAGACAAATTATGCCATAGACAAATTATGTCATAGACAAATTATGTCATAACTTAACCAATCTTGTGGGTAACTAAAGAGCGATGACATGTAATGAATCATAGAGGTTCATAGGAGCTTTTAGAGCTATCATTCATGCTCCTAGGCCTCTAGTTGGTAGAGATATGTCATGTGGTAGTATGAGTGGTGTCATGTAATGAATCATAGAGGGTTGTAGAGATATGCTATGTGGTAATATTGGCCCAGTAACTAAGGAGCGATGACGTGTAATGAATCATAGATGGTTGTAGCAATCGTTGAGTAGTATTGCTCTTGTTGTTGGTGTGATAAGCCAAAATATGTATAGTGACTTGTAGGTTTGAGGAGGAGATTTCCAAGTTTGCTCTTGAGTTTGATAGCAAACTGAGTGCAACGAATGTCAGTATGACACCCAGTCGTCCAGGGCGCGGGACCAAGCGTCCAAGTCGAGGAACTCGCTACCGTCGACAGGGGCAGCAAGTTCGGCTAGGAGGCAGGGGCGGGGGAGGCAGGGGAGTTTGTGCCTCGCGCGAGGGCTTCCGAGGGGGGTTTTGAGGGGGTCGGAGGAGGGAGGGAGCCTGGTGTAAGGATGCCTGTCCCTCAGTGACCAGAAAGGATCTGAGTCGGGCAGGTTACGGTCACATGATAAGAGTTAAGGCAGGTTAGCCGAGTCGGACCCATTTCAGGTACTTAAGGGGATTGACCCAACGGGGTCCCTCTCCCTCAGTGACGGAAGGTATCTGAGTCAGACAAGTTATGGTCACGTGGTGAGAGTGCAGGTTAGCTGAGTCGGGACCCGTTTCGGGTACTTAAGGAGATTGACCCAACGGGGGTTCCTCTCTTCATCTTTTTTGTATCCTTCATAGTAGACCTATAGGATAGCATCCGTTTAGCCTCTGACTCGCACTCCCATATGCTATTACCGTGAGCTGGGTGCCCTGTGTCCTTACACCTGGGAGGTGTCAGCAGGGTTCTGTGGTGGAGGGGACGAATGGAAGGGGGAGGAGGTTTGGGGGTCTCAATTGACCCCTGACTTACCGTGCAATTGAGCTGGTATATTGCCAGCTCAATTGCTTCCAAAAGGCCATATGAGAGCACGTACTCTCATTTGAGAGTACGTGCTCTCATTGGCTCGTTAACCTTTCCAAAGGAGGGTTAGCGGCCGACTGGGTAGATGGAGTTTTCTTACCAGTTTACTGGGTATATCGAGTTTTTGGCCTTATTTTTTTTGTGTGGTGGTTAGGGGTTAAGCAAGGATGGGGGTTTTGTGGTTGGGGTTGTGAGGGATGGTGATAGCAGGGTTAAAAAATCAATTATAATCATGATTATTAGGTCGTAATCATAATCATGATTATTTACAAAGCGCATAACGTATTTCACATGCGAGTTGCCTACACAAGCGAGCAGGGTTAGAAAATCAATTATAATCATGATTATTTAACTAGTCGTAATCATAATCATGATTATTGATAAAGTGTATAATCATAACGTACTTCACTAGCGAGCTGCGCATACCCCCGAACTGCGCAGACCCCCCATTTTTTACACGTCTTACCTCCTTGAACTCCACATAACTCAACTAATGGATGCTCAATCGACCTACAAAGAGGGGCGAATTGCTCTTGCACTTCAGGCGCACAAAGATGGCTATTTTACAAGTTTACGGGCGGCCGCAAACGCGTACGATATTCCAGAATCAACCTTACAGTCTCGTGTCAAAGTGTTACGACGGAACAAGAAGGCTGGCCAACTACAGGACAGGAAGGAGGGAGGTCGCATGAGACCGGCCCTGGTACCTGGAGGGGCAGCGGGGAATAGTAGTTCCGAAAGTATCACGTGACGGACTCGCAGGATGATGAGAAGAGTCCTAAGAGTCCAGGACTCCGAGGACTCGAGTGAGTTCCCAGGAGTCCACTAGGCACGTGACGGACTCGCAGGATGATGAGAAGAGTCCTAAGAGTCCAGGACTCCGAGGACTCAAGTGAGTTCCCAAGAGTCCACTAGGCACGACGCCACTATATAAGTAGATAGTATTTCCTTAGATAGGAGCTTCGTGCTCAACTCAATACAGTATTTGTTATATACTAGTAACGTGTTACTTGAAGCCTTTGTGTCTGATCCCCTGCCTCCTCTGATAAGTAAACCTTTACGCAAGAGAGCCTCTGTGTCTTCTATCGTTTAGAAGTCAGCGTTACACTTTGAGCACCACTTCTACGAGGCACTGGCTCATACACAAAGCAACATGTCTGTCGTCAGTTCGAAGGGGAAAACCCCCACCACGCCAACTTCGTCTCAGAGGTCTAAGCCTGAGAATGAAGAGATGCCCGACGCACCCACCGTCAATGAACTCAAGGAAACTCTATGCGTCAAGTTGCCCGACACTTACTCCGGCAACCGAAAGGAACTTGAGGTGTTTTTGCTACAGGTCGAACTGTACCAGCACTTCAATGACGAGAAGTTTCCCACCCAGGAGAGCTATGCCCTGTGGACTGCGTCCTACCTTAGGGGGGAAGCCCTGCGATGGATCGAACCATTCCTCAAGGATTATTTCAAATATGAGAGTACCAATGGAAGCATGGCAACTACGCAGACTATGTTTGGCAGCTGGAAAGGATTCTGTAAGGAAATCCGACGCATGTTCGGAGACATCGATGAGATTAAGACCGCGGAAGACCATCTGTTTGCACTTAAGCAGACTGGCAGCGCCCTCACGTACTCCACAGAATTCCAGAGATACGGCAATCAGACAGGATGGGACGCCAGCGCACTCATCAGCCACTACCGACGTGGGCTGAAGAGCCATATACATATGGAACTTGCCCGTTTGGAACAACAACCAACGGACATGGTAGCGCTAATCGAACATACGGTCCGAATCGACAATCGACTATACGAATTCCAGAAGGAACGTCGGACCTATGACAAGCCCAAGAAAAGTTACCCCTACCGGGGAAATGAGGGCAGACGACGGGATCAACACCCGCGAGACAACCGTTGGTCAGACCCAATGGAACTCGATGCCACGTTCAAACCTGGACGACCCCGTGACCCTAAGAAAGACAGACAATTCAAGGAACGACTCTGTTTTAACTGCGACAAGCCAGGCCACATGGCCCGAGACTGCAGACAGCCAAAGAAAGGGAACGGCGGACGCAAAGTCGGCAAACAACTCAATGCCACCTGGACAGGACAGTTGAACACAACATTTGTGAGCAAACAGGACTGGGGAATAAACGGCGAAAGCACCCCAGAAGACGAGAGCTCAGATGAAGGGTCGGAGGCGGAATCGTTCACCGTCTCAGAACAGGAGACCTTCGACGAACTCGCACCTACGGAACCAATGAGTCCACGGTGCAAGAGCATAGTAAGACGCATGGCAAAACACGCCCACGCGAAGATTAGGGCCGAACGAGACAAGCCCAGCGGCCAGAGGAGAATCCCCACGCTTAAGGGCATCTACGGGAACCTGTTACAGGGACTTCCGTTAGAGTGCAAGGTGGATGACTGCAAGGATGACCTCTGGAGATACTACAACCAACTAACGAATACCCGCAGGCTGCTTGGCACGTCCCCAGACGTAGCTAAGTTGGAAGCCCAAGAAGCGGAAGAACTGGAGAACGATGTCGAGCATATGGCTAAACTGAAGTATATGAAAAGCGTCGAACTTTACTACCAGGACTGCAGGAGAACCCTGGAGAAGTACGATGAGAAAGCCAGAGGTATGCTGCGACGGGAAAATGCGAGACCCACTCCACGCATCGAAAGGAGAGCCATGGAGCAACTAGACACGTTCTCCACGCCTCCGAGGGAAGATAGTGCATGGGTGAGAGGACAGCGGGAACTATCAACGACAGATGCAACAGAGACTGATCATCCCTGGCATGCGTATGTCTACTGGGAGTATTGCAGCGAAGATGACTGCAAGCTCCACTGGAAAAAGAAACACCAGAATCAGTTGTTTCCCCGATCCTCGCCCAGGATACACTTCAGAGACGCAGAGCAAGTTCACGCCCTCAGGCGAAGCCAGTCTGAAGGGGACTTGCCTATCAAAAGCGAACAGGTATACGAGAAATACCCACATCTGCTGAATGAGTTCTTTGCTGATGTTCCTTGTTGGTTCCCACGAATTATCCGTAGGTTCGTAATTTTCCCATTTTATCAAAAACTCTTCTCGACGTCCTACTAACCTTCTGTCTAGGATCGCTTCGACCTCATATTCGATTATCTCATTCTCGGGTTGGAGTTCGGTGTCGGTCGCAATTGGGGTATTTCCTCTTGCTGGTTCCAGTAGTGAGACATGAAATACCGGGTGTAGTCTAGACTTCCTGGGTAGCTGCAGTCTGTAATTAACTGAGCTGACTTTGTTCAATATTTTGAATGGTCCCAATTTCTTGAAGTCCAACTTTGTGCTTGGTCGTTTCGTTTTGATATGTTTCCGGAGTAGGTATACTTTATCCCCCTCCTTGAAGGCAGGTTCCATACTGCGCTTCTTGTTTGCGTATGCGGCGGATCGTTCATTTAAGAATTGGATGTCCGTCGCAAGTTGTTCGTGGAACGATTTCAGTTGTTCCACCACGATCAGGGCTTGTTCAGCTCGTGATTCATCCGGTCTTGGTTGCCTATATGCTTCTGGCTGGTAGCCGTAATTGGCAAAGAACGGTGAGACTTTCGTTGCTTCTGTCATCGCGCTGTTATATGCAAACTGTGCGATGGGTAAGATCTGAACCCAGTTATCCTGTTGATGATTGACATAGCTTCGCAGGTACTGTTCAAGGGTCTGATTTAATCTTTCTGTTTGGCCGTCTGTCTGGGGATGAAAAGCTGTTGATAGCTTATGATTTGTTCCCAGTAGCGCCATCAATGATTTCCAGAATTTCGAAGTAAAGAGCTTGTCTCTATCTGAGATGATTTCTTCTGGCATCCCATGATCGGCTAATATGACTCGAATGAAGGTATATGCGAGCGCCTTGGCGTCGCTAGCTTCTAGATATGGTATAAACTTCCCATATTTCGTGAGTCTTTCCGTGATGACGAGGATAGAGTCGTATTCTATTCCTGTTAACGGGTCCTTGGAGGGTGGAAGCTTGACGATGAAGTCCAAAGCTATTGATTTCCACGCTCCTTTTGGTACTGGTGTCGACTTGAGTTGTCCGTATGGCAGGTGCCTATTGGATTTTGACTTGCTGCAAATGTCGCACTCTCTTACCACTGTCTCTACCTGCTTCCTCATACCTGGGAAGTAGTAGTGTCGGGTGATTCATTCGAAGGTTCGTGTCACTCCCTGATGACTGTGTGCTGGTAACGAGTGTTGTTCTTGCACCAGCGGGCGTCTCATTTGACTTGGGACATACACTAACCCTTTGTATCGAATCAATCCTTGTTCGTCGATGGCGAAGTCGCCTTCGACTTTGGACAAGACTCGCTTGGCGCATTCGTCTGTTGCGTAAGCTTTCTTGAGTCTTTCCTCGAGTTCTGTATCTTCGATGACTGAGATCGTCGCTAGTAACTCGTTGTACTGTATTCCTGCATCTGTTTTCTTCAGAATTGCTCTAGGTCTTTCTTCCTTTGGGCCGGCGTAGTCGGTCCGTCTGCTGAGAGCGTCTGCTCTTGCATTCTCGGAGCCCTTGCGATAGGTTATCGTGAAGTTGTAGGCTGCGAGGGTTTCTGCCCAGCGGACTTGTCTGCGGTTTAAAACCTTGGTCGTGGTGAAGTATATGAGGTTCTTGTGATCCGTCCATACCTGCACAGGGTAGGTGGGTCCCTCAAGATATACTCGCCACTGCTCAAAGGCAACGACAATAGCCAGTAGCTCCTTGTCGTGGATGTCGTAATTGAGTTCCGCGGGTGACAGTTTCCTAGAGTAGTACACGATTGGTTTGAACTTACCGTTCTCGTCTGGTTGATTCAGACATGCTCCAATTGCGAAGTCAGAAGAGTCCGTTTCGAGGATGATCTTCTTTGCAGGGTCAAATGTAGCAAGGATAGGTGCTTCCGTGAACTTCGTCTTAAGTTCCTGGAAAGCAGCCTCTGCCTTGTCCGTCCATTTGAATTCGAGATCCTTTCTGGTAAGCTCCGTGAGTGGTTGAGCTACCTTGAAATATCCCGAGATGAATCTTCGGTAGAAGTTGGCGAAGCCTAGGAAGGCTTGCACTTCCTTGACCATGGTCGGTGTTGGCCATTCCAACACTGCCGTTACTTTTGCTTGGTCCATCTTGATGCCGTGCGTTCCAATAATGTAACCCAAGAATTCGACTTGGTTTTTATGGAACTCGCACTTCTCTGGTTTGAGGAGTAAGCTGTACTCCTTTAGTTTCTTCAGGACAAGTTTGACATGTTTGACATGCTCCTCCTTGGTTGCTGAATACACCAGCACATCGTCTAGGTAGACAATGGTAAAGATGTCTAAGTATTCGTGCAAAGCATCATTCATCAGTCGTTGCATAGATGCGGGTGCGTTTGTTAGCCCAAAGGGCATGACTTGATACTCGAATAGGCCATAGCGGGTGCGGAATGCTGTTTTCCACTCTTCCCCAGCCTTGATTCGGATCAGGTTGTATGCTCCTCGCAGATCTAGCTTACTGAAGATCTTTGCTCCTTGAAATCTATCGTGTAGTTCATTGATTAACGGCAGGGCATACCTGTCCTTGATTGTGATGTTGTTCAACGCTCGATAGTCCACACATAACCATAGGGAGCCGTCTTTCTTTGGTACGAAAAGCACCGGACTTCCTGCTGGTGATGTGGATGGTCTGATGAATCCTTTCGCTAGGTTATCATCGATGTACTCCTTAAGTACCTTCAGCTCCTTTTCCGATAGCTAATATATTGGTCCGAACGGTGGACTCTTGTCTTTCTCCAAAGGTATCTCGTGATCCCATGGTTGGTGCTTAGGAAGCGCCTCGTTCTTAGGGCCTTCCTGAAATAATTGCTCGTATTCCTTGTACTCCACCGGTATACTCATCGGTGAGGATGCCTGGGCTAGGTCATCGAGCTCGGAGGTTGCACATAACTCCTTCCGGCCCTGGGAGGGTTTCTCCCGTTGTCGCGTGTCCGTCCGTTGTTCACACGCGCACTGGCTCATCACAACTTTCTCGTTCCACCAGTCGATCTGGGGGTTGTGTTTCTTGAGCCATGGCACACCAAGGATGCACGCATGGTTGTCCATGTGCACGATGTCAAACTGAATCGTTTCCTTGTGCCCGTGTAGCATGACCATTTCCAATGGGACCGTTTCGTGGGTCACCATTCCTTCATTAGTCGAGATGGGCTCTCCATCTACGACCATTAACGGGTATGATTCGGTTTTCAATTGCGTCTTGAAACCTTGCGTGTCTGCTACTTTCTTTGTCATAAAGTTGCCCGTCGCTCCTGAGTCAATCATTGCTCAGAGGTGTCGCTGTTGTATCTTAGCGACCACATATAGTTGCATGCTGCCCGTCATGGCGCATAGCTGGTCTGTACTAGGCCTCTTCGTGTCGCTCGCCGGTGGCCTACCGTCGAGGACTCCTAGTTTTTTGACTCGTCCGAGGAAGGATAGTATTCATCCGCTTCCAATGGAGGTCCTGGGGGAGATCATCTCCCTGTCTCTGCTGTGTTGCTGGAGGAATATCGACGCCGCCATCCGCGAGCCATTGATCCCAAGATGCAGGGGAGTAGGCCAGTGGATCGGAGGAAGCGGGGGTCCCGGTTACAGACGAGGAGGCAGCGCTAACTGCCTGTTCCTCGGCCTCAACAACATCACGCTTCTCAGCAGCCACACGTTCGGCCTCCTCTGCCGCATCAAGCTCGTCGAGGGTTTTCAAACCTCGCCGGAGCATATCTTTACTACGGGTTCGGATGAGGCGTTTCTGCTTCCGCAGACGAAGTAACTTCAAAAGGGTTTCTTCCTCTTTGCGATCCAGGCGATCCTCCTCCCGTTCGAGCTTCACCCAGTCGGGATGCTCAGGACCCATACAGTCACACTTTTCTTTCAAGTTGCGACGAACGCACTCGGCGCACCGCCGTGAATCATTTGGAGACGACACGCAAGTAACGTTTCGCCTCACACAGTTCGAGCAAGAATCCATTTCAGGTAGTTCGTATCCGTGGTTCTTTATTCGACGGACAAGATCGTTGCGTTCCTGGAGTTTGCGGGCAGTGTCAGTAGGCATGTTGCATGTTGAAGGACTCGCTGAGGAGCAGCAGAGTCCCAGGGACATGGACGTACTTATAGGATTCGAGACAAATGCCCAGGGGAAGGGAGCGAGTGTTACGACGGAACAAGAAGGCTGGCCAACTACAGGACAGGAAGGAGGGAGGTCGCATGAGACCGGCCCTGGTACCTGGAGGGGCAGCGGGGAATAGTAGTTCCGAAAGTATCACGTGACGGACTCGCAGGATGATGAGAAGAGTCCTAAGAGTCCAGGACTCCGAGGACTCGAGTGAGTTCCCAAGAGTCCACTAGGCACGACGCCACTATATAAGTAGATAGTATTTCCTTAGATAGGAGCTTCGTGCTCAACTCAATACAGTATTTGTTATATACTAGTAACGTGTTACTTGAAGCCTTTGTGTCTGATCCCCTGCCTCCTCTGATAAGTAAACCTTTACGCAAGAGAACCTCTGTGTCTTCTATCGTTTAGAAGTCAGCGTTACACAAAGGAGTCCCTGCACGGAAGGGTTTACGGCCTACAAACACTAAGCTTTTAGCTACAGAAGAGGAAGCTCTTATTAAGTGGATTCTGTCTATGGATGAATGAGGCTTACCAGTTAGAAATAGTTGTATCCAACAAATGGTGAATCTTCTTCAAAAGTGATCAAATACAGACAAGACAGTAACAGATATCTTATGGTTGGTAAGAACTGGGTGTAATGCTGACTTCTAAATGATAGAAGACACAGAGGTTTCTTGCGTAAGGTTGACTTGACAGAGGAGGCATGGGATTAGACACAAAGGCTTTCCAAGTAACACGTTACAGTATTGTAAAGAATACTATATTGAGTTGAGCATGAAGCTCCTATCTAAGGAAATACTATCTACTTGTATAGTGGCATCGTGCCTCATGGGTAATCTGGATAGTTGGCGGATAGCTAGATATTCAGGACAGTTTATGGATAGCTCAACTATCCAATATCCACTAGTTTCTGCAACTATCCATTAGCCCCGTCACATGGCAGCCTACCCCGCTTGCCCCCTGTGACTCACACGTCATGTTAGTAGGTCCTGGTCCTGTAACCATGACATCATGTTACCATAGCCGTAACACTGGGTTTATAAGTGTAATGGTGGGTGCACCAGATGTGAGAATCTAGCCACCCAAGGAAGGGATGATTTTACTAAGACAACACACTGTCTTAGGAAAAAGAGCCAAAGGGTCGTAGCTTAGACTATTCCACAACGCAACAATCAGGTGTATGATATAGCGGAGTGGTTTAGACAAGTTGTAACAAATGTTGAGTCTGAGAACTCAGGGATAAGGGATAAGTCAGAGGTTAGCACCTGACTGACTTTCCAGAAACAAGGAGTAACAAGATTAATGCTTGGAAGCTTGGAAAAGATGTGGAAGTATGTGATAGTCAATTTACTGTATTGTCTGCTTGCCCTTTCTTAAGGAAAGGGCCTATTTATGCTAAAGGAGTGTAGTTCTCTCATTTTCCAAGACTTTCCATGACTAACCAGGCTTGGTAACTGTAGTCGACATAAGAGAATCCCATAGAACCATCTCCTAGGTTCCTAGCCTATAGGAAGTGAAAGGAGGTCCAAGGTCAGAGTACCCCTATAGACAGATTATGTCATAACTTAACCAATCTTGTGGGTAACTAAGGAGCGATGACGTGTAATGAATCATAGATGGTTGTAGAAGCTTTTGGAGCTATCGTTCATGTTCCTAGGCCTCTAGTAGGTAGATATTGTTACGATTATAGCTTACAGCTTGTTACAGTTGTTACGGTTGTTACGGTTGTTACAGTTGTTACGGTTGTTACGGTTGTTACGGGTGCAGCCTTAGCCACCAAGGCTACAACCACTAAGCGGACAACTGTATATTACGAGGAATAGCCTCACCTTCCTTCCTTCTTCTTCTTCTTCTCTCTTTAGATTCAAGCTAGCTTATTATTCTCCGGACTGGCTTCTTGACCTCCGTGACTATCGTAACATAGATTCCTTGAGGTGTCATTGCCCGCCGACTTGTGTGTAGTTGGGGATTTCGCCCTCGCATACTTTTCGCATGTGCATTCGCCTTATGTTGGCGCTGAATCCCAGCTTTCAGTTTCTGCTTTCCTGTGACCCGCACCCACTCGGCATCCTCGCTGTCATATTGGTGTTGATTGGGGTCACGGACCAACTCCTCAGCCGTGCACCTTTGTGAAACCTCAAGGGCAACGTGCCTCATAGCAGTGCGAGCTCCTTCAAATTCTTGGATCTTGCATCTTAGGCGTCGTAATCCTTTCACATCTTCTGGCTATACCTCACTATACTCATCCCCAACTTGTTCTTTTCCAGCTCTATAATTTCTAGACTGTCCCCTAGCACCTCCCAACTTTCCCAGCATGCAGTCATGCTGCTCATTCCAGAACTTGTGATCTGACAGGGCCCCAGCTATTCCGGCACGCTGCGGCCAGTCCCTTTTCCCAAATGCTTGATTGCTTGTAGGAATTGGGATATCTGTGGGTTTTCCTGGTCATACTCTGGATCTGTACACTCAAGGAGTGCCGTAGTTGCAAGTTTCTCAGCTAGTTCACAGACCTGCAAGTCCACCCGTCCTTCTGACAGTTCATCCCAGTCTTGCATGTTCGCCTGATTGTGAATCCGTTCCTTTACTGGTGAGACAGACAATGTGTTGTCGCTAGATTTGTGCTGACCATGATAGAGCTTCTCTATTGATGTGTCCACTTCAAGATGAGCTTTGAGTGAATTTGGGGCCTTCATATCAGCAGACTTTGGCACCTTCCGAGGGCGTTTGGATGTGCGAAAATAAAATAGTCGTTCCTAGAATAATCGCCAATTGCGCTCACCTGGTGAAGCCACCCGCGCCCTAACAGGATGTTATATGACGTGACGCCATAAACCACAAAGAACTTGAGTATCCATTCTATGCTGGCTACTTTCACTGGCAGGAGCACATATTGTGTGAGCGCATGTACGGCCCCGTCTGCTGTGTGCATTCTGAGCCCTGTTGTGTCTTCATGTCATGGGCAGTCGAGTTGTTCTGCAATGGTTGCATTGATCAACTCAATCGAGAAGCTGCCGTCTAACAACACCTGTGTGACTTCAAATTCCTGAGTCTCATTTAGAATGGATCAAACTGTACAATAAGTATAGAAACACGGTGGGGGTGCTCCCTGCCCAAACTCAATCCATTCACCAGTCTGACGGACTTGGTCAACATTGTGGACTAAAACCCCATCCTGGATTCACCATCCCCGCATCTTGGCCTGTGGCCATAAAAGTTCATCGACCTCCTCCTCCTCATCACGGGCTGCTGGCTGAGGTGGGAATCCCCTGTTTATCTTGGGCATAAATGAACCGTCACCATCATCATCCCTCCTCACACATAACATTACACTCAAGAACACAGCTTCATGCCGTACTTTGTACAGTTATAGTTTACATTTTACTTTGCAAATCTGACGTTACCTATCTATGTCTCCTGCCTTGACGGATGAAAGCGCCAGGCCACCCACACCACCACCTTTGCCTCCCCAGTCTAACTATGGAGTTCAACTGCCCAAGTCCCATTTCAAAGTTGCAGAAAAGGTGTCCAGGTTCTGGGAGAAATTTAAGTAAGCCCAAGGGGCCTTTAACGATGCTCCAATTTCAGGAGTGACTATAGATCCACTTGCTCCCAAAACTGGTCCGCACTTTTTTTACGGCACACTCATGGATCCTGCCTTGCTGATGGAGATTCTCGGTCTTGAAGAGACGCCAACGCTCCAACGGCGACAGTTATAGGATACTTGTGCAAACTTTGGGGTCAATACCCAGTGCTGGTTAATGGGCCTGAGGGGGGTGTTGTTGAGGGTGCTATTTATGACGTACAAACTGAGAAACATGCTGCCAGATTAGCAGAGTATGAGACGAAGGCTTACATGGCTGTCCCATGCGAGATAAATATTGTTGATAGGGATGAGCTGGCTAAGGTGTTTGGGACAACTTTTAGATATGTTGGTCCAGATATAGATCTCAGTGAAGGGGAATTTGATTTGAAGACTTGGCTATGACACATGGGGAGAGAATGCCAGATTAGCAGAGTATGAGGGGTCAAAGTATTATATGGGTTTGAAAGGTGCAAAGAGCGCATGGCGGTGCTGTAGGTTGAGGATCCTATTATACTTGGAATTGACGGCCTGCGAATTATCAGAGACCCACAAATCACCACTCTCATCAACCCCACCTTCCCTAGACAATACTCTCTTGAGGGCGGCTCAATGTAATGGTGGGTGCACCAGATGTGAGAATCTAGCCACCCAAGGAAGGGATGATTTTACTAAGACAACACACTGTCTTAGGAAACAGAGCCAAAGGGTTGTAGCTTAGACTATTCTACAACGCAGCAATCAGGTGTGTGATGTAGTGAAGTGGTTCAGACAAGTTGCAACAAATGTTGAGTCTGGGAACTCAGGGGTAAGTCAGAGGTTAACACCTCACTGACTTTTCAGAAACAAGGAGTAACAAGATGAATGCTTGGAAGCTTGGAAAAGACGTGGAAGTATGTGATAGTCAATTTACTGTATGCTTGCCCTTTCTTAAGGAAAGGGCAATCCTATTTATGCCAAAGGAGTGTAGTTCTCTCATTTTCCATGACTTTCCATGACTAACCAGGCTTGGTAAATGTATTAGAAATTAAGTGCGACCCACAACTAGCTTGCTAATCATGTAGTGAACGTAAGAGAATCCCATAGAACCATCTCTTGGGTTCCTAGCCTATAGGAAGTTAAAAGGAGGTCCAAGGTCAGAGTACCTATAGACAAATTATGTCATAACTTAACCAATCTTGTGGGTAACTAAGGAGCGATGACGTGTAATGAATCATAGAGGGCTGTAGAAGCTTCTAGAGCTATCGTTCATGTTCCTAGGCCTCTAGTTGGTAGAGATATACCATGTGGTAGTATTGGCCCACCCCCTTAAGGAGGAGATTTTCTTAATAACTTGTTCAATGAGTGTCCAAATGATATGCCGTGATGTATGTAGCATAAACAGATGTAGTAGAAGAGTTTGCAGCAATCGTTGAGTAGTATTGCTTCTGTTGTTGGTGTGATAAGCCAAGATATGTATGGTGACTTGTAGGTTTGAGGAGGAGATTTCTAAGTTTGCTCTTGAGTTTGATAGCAAACTGAGTGCAACGAATGTCAGTATGACACTCAATGTCTCTTTTATTAACAAGTATACTAACATCCCTCCCTAGAGGAAAACCCACTGTGCAGGAAACAATGATGGGTACTGACTTCAATCATCTCAAAATCTGCGCACGCTTTAATATCTTTTATATTTTTGTACAAGCCAAGTTCCAAGACCACTGCTGAACACTCTGAACCCCTCCTACCAAAGAATCATGTTGGTGTTGTCACCCTCCAGCCTGATTCACAGAGAGTATCTATTCATCATTATCAGCTTTGTGGCAGCTGTGCGGAGCAGACTTGTGTATGGTCACCACACCGATTAATACCTCGATTCAATGCAACTAATGACTTTTGATCGGTGCACAATCAGCTCAAGAGACTGGCTGTTACCTTGTAATAACACCAATGTATACAACACCACTGCCACTCTAAAGATTAATAGAAAGATGAATCTTCTAGGTGACTAGTAAGAGCTTAAGTAATAGAGTCTTATGCTAGGTATGATATTGCTGAATTGACCATGTTCTAAGTGTATTTCAAGTGGGTAGAACATTGCTAGCATTCTCATTTAGATATACCAAAAGCGCCTTAAACTACATCGATTCACAACTCTTGAAACTAATAGAATTGACAGCAATCCACTTAATTAAAAGCTCCTTAAAGACCCTTGGATCAAATGAGTCACCTCTATTAATAACTTTGTGTTTCTTGTGTGAATTTAAGAGTGATTGTGCAAAAGCCAGCTTAATGTGCTGCCTAACAGGCCTAACAGCCCCATTAGTAAGTGCCTTTGGGTCTTTCTTCCCATGCTTGTGGTCGAGATGATTTGTATTTGGCCAAACAGTGTATATACAATAGATATCATTGCCCACTTTAAGAACTGTGTTAGCACCTCCATCTATATGCTGCTAAATCCATGATGTAATACACTAGTTGATTCAGAACCAGCTTGTATGAAAGCTTTAGAGCTGTTGCTCATTAATTAGGCATATTCAGACATTTTTCTAATGTTGTTTAGGTTGAAATGGGCTCGAAGTAGGCGCATCTAATGATGCCATAAAAACCCTTCATTTTTTCTAGGTGGCACAGGCCACCTAGACTATCAGCCCGAACTGTTAAGACTGTTAGTTTGACATTCTACAAACTGGACTAATAGTCTAGGTGGACTATTAGTCTAGACTATGTAGACTAGACTACTGACATGCCTATATGTGAGTTCTCCTATAAGCTATAGATACCATATGCTTCGAATGAGAATCTTCGTGCCAAGTAAGGTGCGCTAGAACATTAATAGATTGCAAGTATAAGTTAGAAGAAGATGGATTCTGCAAACACTTAGTGGACATCTAGTGAGGGATCATTTGAGGCCATCTAGTGGACCATCTAGTGAGCCATATGGATTTGATCACGTGTTAACTATGCATATAGAAAGGTGTTGGTCGAAGGACCGGTCACCAAATACACCGCACGATTTGCGACCGCGCGCAAATCGTGCGGTGTATTTGGTGACCGGACCTTCGGGTTTTTGCGCAACGGGCAGAAAAACTCGACAGTAGACTACAGTATATAGAACAAATTGATTAAATTGAATTACTACACTACCTACGGAGCGCCAATTGGGGAGCCCGACAATTGTGGGAAAAGCCGCCATTCTCTTTCCCTCAACAAAAGGCTATGGACCTAGGCGAGATAGGCGAGAATAAAAGCAGAGGCGATTCATGGGTCCTCAAAGACGAATACGCAAATAACTGTCACATACGACCATAGACTCAAGAGAACTGGGCATCCCGTCCGCTCTGCCATACATAAACTTGAGATCGGTGGATTAGTAGTTGGGTGGGTGACCACCAGCGAATACCCACTGTTGTATGTTTTTTTATCTTTTTATTTATTTATTTTGTCTTGGTGGCGTGGCAGATTTTGGTTCCTCTACGAGTGCTAAATATAGACGCGTGATGGTTTGAGCTAGGTTACTAGTCTGGGGAAGCAGGTGACACCTAGTGCTACGCCTCGACAGTTCTCAATATGACTAGACTTTATCTAAGCCAATGCGCCCTTACACGAGTGGAGATATCGATACAGTTACCTGCCTATTACAAGTTGGATCACTCCGAGTGGCAAGGCGGAGTAGGGTCGGGAAGGAGCCGAGGCGTCAAAAACAAACGTATTCCAATTGTCACTTATGATGCTAGGTGTTCCTTCCAGTTGCATGGGGCGCAGCATCTGTGTTCTCGGTGACGCGCAATGGTAGGGAGGAAGGTCGGGATTGCGCAGACTAGGTAGTGATAGACGAGGGAGAGGATAGCATAGGGCCGAGTTCATCGTGTAGACTTGATTGCTTTCAGCGCAGAGCAGACATTATATATATACTGATATAGTGCATTCTCAATTGCTCAGCTACCACACTGTCAAGACTTCACCACACTGCATACTGCATGTCGACAAACTTTTCTCATCTCAAAGAAACTCCACGCAGTCCAATCCCAGCAGTAATGGCCGGAGCGGCATTCCAGGGCCTCGAATGGGCCGCTACGACCTTTGGCCTCGAGCCAACATGGACGCTCGAGCCTGACCTTGAAGCTGCTAAGCAGATAGTCAAGTCGGTCGGTGTGATGGAAGGCACAGGCAGCATTGGCACCATAAACGTATCATTTCTTTCCCAGGGAGCATTCAATAAGATTTACGAAATTTCCATGCAATAAGAATGAGCAAACCCTCATCTTGCGTCTGGCTTTACCGGTCGACCCGCGATACAAAACACTCAGCGAAGTAGCGACTATGGAATGGATGCGCCATAATGCGAATGTCCCAGTACCTACTGTTGTCTCTCACGATGCTTCTAGTGCCAATCCTGTCGGTTTTGAATGGATTCTAATGACCAAATTGCCTGGGAAGCAGCTGGCTGATGCGTGGAGATCGCTCTCTTACCCCGCTAAAGAAGGGCTTGCCAAGCCGTTTGCCAAATACTCATCCAGTCTTTTCAAAATCAGCTGAGCGGCATTGGGAATATCATGGCGCATCTTTTCCCAAGGTGGACCGTATTGTGTCCATGCACTTTTTCTGGGGTGATCATATCCACCAGGATGTGTCCCGCGGGCCTTTTTCCTCGACTAGGAACTGGATGGATGCACGCCTAGCGCTCAGCGAACACGACTGCCGCTCAACGCTGACTAAATATTCGGACAGAAACGGTATTGATACTGATGACGAGGATGCCCTAGATGACGCGCAGCGGACGCTTAACATTGTCAATAGGCTTAAGGCCCTTGTGGGCCAAATATTCTCCATTGGTCATCTGGAAGATGAGCCCTCTATGCTATTTCATGACGACCTTTCTCAGCACAACATCCTTGTTGACGACGGCGGCGCTCTTACCGGTGTGCTGGACTGGGAGTGCGTCTCTATTGGGATCACTTGATGGAATATGAACTTACAAACTCACGACGGGTTTTCCTCGATGAGATGGCGAGACTAGAGCCAGGTTGGGTGGAAATCTTCAACTCAAGTCCGTTGCAGAGAGACCTAGATCTCGCGGTGCAGAACTGTAATAGCGAAATTCTTACAAGCTATATCAATGAATGGATTGACGAAATTGTTGCTTCTCCTAGGACAGATATTGAGGAGTAGGAGGAAGGTGATACTGACGAAGGCAGGCCTTGAGTGTGAACGACAACACGCCTACCAAATGCCTAAAGGAGTATGAGGCGTATAGTGACGTTTTCTCCGAGGGAAAGGCAGAAGACCTACTAGAGCTAGGAAGGAAGACCCATGCCATCAATACTAGGACCTAAGAACTACTATATAGGCTAGTATATAACCTATTAGAAACGGAGCTGGCCACGCTCTGAAAATACCTCAATGATAGCGAGAAGAAGGTTGGATCTGAAGGAGTGTAAGCCCTATAGGCATACCTATTCTATAGGGCTTACACTCCTTCAGATCCAACCTTCTTCTCGCTCTTATTGAGGTATTTGCAGAGCGTGGCCAGCTCCGTTTGCCTACATCTCTACATAGACTATAGGGGCTTAAATAAGATCACTATGAAGACTCAACACCTGCTACTACTAATCACAGAGACCTTAGATCAGCTCTAAGGAGCGAGGTGCTTTACGAAGCTTTGATATAAGGAACGCCTACTACTGTATCCACATTTGTCTAGGCTCGAGGCTTACGAATTCTATTAACTCAACCTATACCTAGCCTACTAGGTTAGGATAGCAAGCTAGGAAAAATGGATTACTCAAGCGACCTCTAGGGTGGCGACACTAGCGACTGAGGCCACTAAGCTAGCTCTAAGAGCTACACCTATAGAAGTTAGCCACTCTATAGCAGGCAAGGGTGAGAGCATGGCCTCGAAGCTAGCTGACCTCTAGAGACAGATAGATGAAGAAAGAGCCTATATCAATGCTATAGAGGAAGCCCTAGAGTTCTTCTAAAGAGAACATAGTAACAACTATGATGCCTACCCTAAGGCAGTATAGGACTTTACGAAGAAGCAAGCGCTAATTTAGGAAGAAAGCTGTTAGAAAAGGTGACACTAAGATATCAAAGATAAATAGGAAGGACCCTAAAGAGAAGAGGAGATAGTGCTTCTACCATATTGATAGAGGTCGCGCTAACCTAAAGACTAATAGGAAGGGTCAAGGAACCTAAGATATACAAGGGCAAATCACCTAAGAGCTTAACGAGTTCATGGGCTTAATCTGTGCCATCTTCTAATACCAACCAAGGGTGTTTCTAACCGAGCAATTAAAGGTGGCCTTCGCTGCCTAATATCTAGAGGGAGACCCTATTAAGGAGTGGGATAACTAGTGTGCCTCTAAAAAAGAGGGATATATAGACCCCTTAGACATTGCTAGATTCGAGGAGTTTCTTTGAGACCTCTATGTTAATCTGGCCAACTAACAGCGTATTACAGCCTTAAGATACAACGTAGCCAACTAGAGAAAAGAACAGGGCATCTATAAGTTTGTAGCCTACCTTAAGGACCTCGAACGCGAGATGGAACCCTACACTAAGTCGCAAAGGACCACCCACCTCTTAACGAAGATTCACCTAGAAATGAGGCAATGCCTCCTTAAAGGGGGGTACGTAGAACATTCCACCACCTATAGAGACGCTGTTGTTAATATCCTAGCAATGCTAGAAATGACCAACTAGTAGGTAACAGAGAAGACCCCTACTAGCGACAAGAGCAACTAGAAAGAAGGAAGGGGTTCCTTTAGGGTGGATTTCCCCACCAAAGGGGCAACTTCACTAGTAGCAGGGGCTTTTAAGCCTTAACACTAGGGGAGAGGATTGTAATGGTGGGTGCACCAGATGTGAGCATCTAGCCACCCAAGGAAGGGATGATTTTACTAAGACAACACACTGTCTTAGGAAACAGAGCCAAAGGGTCGTAGCTTAGACTATTCCACAATGCAGCAATCAGGTGTATGATGTAGTGGAGTGGTTTAGACAAGTTGTAACAAATGAGAACTCAGGGATAAGGGATAAGTCAGAGGTTAGCACCTCACTGACTTTTCAAAAACAAGCAGTAACAAGATCAATGCTTGGAAGCTTGGAAAAGACGTGGAAGTATGTGATAGTCGATTTACTGTATTGTCTGCTTGCCCTTTCTTAAGGAAAGGGCAATCCTATTTATGCTAAAGGAGTGTAGTTCTCTCATTTTCCAAGACTTTCCATGACTAACCAGGCTTGGTAACTGTAGTCGATGTAAGAGAATCCCATAGAACCATCTCCTAGGTTCCTAGCCTATAGGAAGTGAAAGGAGGTCCAAGGTCAGAGTACCCCTATAGACAGATTATGTCATAACTTAACCAATCTTGTGGGTAACTAAGGAGCGATGACGTGTAATGAATCATAGATGGTTGTAGAAGCTTTTGGAGCTATCGTTCATGTTCCTAGGCCTCTAGTTGATAGAGATATGTCATGTGTAGTATTAGCCCAGTAACTAAGGAGTGATGTCATGTAATGAATCATAGAGGGTTGTAGAGATATGCTATGTGGTCATATCGGCCCAGTAACTAAGGAGCAATGATGTGTAATTAATCATAGAGGGTTGTAGCAATCGTTGAGTAGTATTGCTCTTGTTGTTGGTGTGACAAGCCAAAATATGTATAGTGACTTGTAGGTTTGAGGAGGAGATTTTGAAGTTTGCTCTTGAGTTTGATAGCAAACTGAGTGCAACGAATGTCAGTATGACAAGGATGCCCTTCTAGAATAAGCACTACTAACAAGACTAACAGTCAACAAGAGGGGGAACCCTTACATAAGGTAGGGATACAAGGTCAACACTGTTTAGGAACTGCTATAACTACAGCAAGGCAGGCCACCTCTTAAAGGAATGCCAAAGCCTACGCTAACACATAGGTTTAGGCATAAGGAAGCTCAACACCTGCACTAAAGAGGAAGGGTGACTCCTAGTTAAGCCTTAGAAACCCAAGGCGCTAAGGAGGATTGAAATCGAGGTAGAGGTGTAGGTAGGCCCTAAATGGCACAAGGTGAAACCCCTCTTCGATTCAGGATCTGACACGTCTACCATCCACCCTCTCTTTGCTAAGGAGAGTGGTTTAGAGTGCTGAGATAAGGCACCACCATAGGCAAGGGCAGTTGACAGAAAGGAGGTTGTGATATACAGAGCAGCCACCACCTAGGTCCAAGCTAGGGACCACTTCTAAAGGGAGTGTGTAGTCGCCTAGACCCTTTCTTTCCATAGATACCCTAGGCATAGACATTATCCTTAGTATAGATTGGATAGTGCAAGTCAACCCCTAGATCGACTAGCACGAACAGAGCTGGCGCTAGCCTTTCGACATTGCGAGAGCTGGAATATTCTTATAATGATGTACAGTTACACTCGCGCTACATCCTACTAAGCCAAAAAGACAGTATTATGGCTTGCCTAGAATATGCATAACACGCTTTATATACCACACATGCTGTAACGGCAGCACCCCGTTATAGGAACTGAGGCTACATCAGCTTAGGCATGCCATGGCACCCTCACAGTCTATACCAAGAGTCTACAAAGTTGAAGTGATAGAGAGAGTCTACAAAGGCAGGTTATATAGTTTAGTGCTATCCTAGAGCGTCTATAGAAAGCCTAAAAGACAGGTTATACAAAGAGTCTACAAAGATAGGTTATAAAGTCTAGTGCCATCACAAGTACTTGTATTTTATCTACACTTGAGATGATGTGCTAAGGTGACACTATAAGAGTTGTCATTGACACTGTCTAATCAATAATCTATCCATACAAATGGGACGCAAGTATTTACACTAGCAGAATAATGAAAGCAAAAGCAGGAACAACAAGTTGCATAGGAACAGATGGAACAGGAATGGATGGAACAGGAGAGGCTAGAGCTGATGGAGCACAAGAAGGTCCAAATCAACTTTATAATCAAGGAGGGAGTTGTTTAGAGGGATTTACCACCTGTCACAATCCAATCCAGAGACAAGTCCGAATTCGAGTATTTTATTAAAGAGTATATAAGGGAAAACATCTAGCCTTTCAACACAAGATTGTACGTGCTAGCTCTACATGAGTGTTTCAATGAAGTCACTAATGATAGGACACACACTATATGCTAATCACACAAGACGAACTTGTTCTTAATGATGAGATGTTAGAATCAGCGGCGAAGCTTCACAGCGACGCAATGAAGAGGGTTCTTGGATTAAAATGTGTCACTACATATGATATAGCTCACACTCACCAACCCCGATAGAGGTTGATAGTGTAATTTGAAAATAAGAATCTAGAATAACGTCCCTATTTACGTAGAGGAAACCCCACTAGTAGAAAATGATGGGTACTGTAACTATAAGCATTTTAAAATCTATACACGCATCGATATCTCCTATATTTTTGCATTAGTCATGTTCTGTAGCCACTACGTGAATGTTAAGGTTATTAAGCAGAAAGAAAGGTTGGGTTGGTGAGATGTAGTTGAAGCGTAGACAGAAACAAAGGACCTCGAGGCAGTTGCATAGAGAAACTTGTAGAAGAAGGTGGAAGGACTTAGTCACTTTCACCGTGAGTATCTTTCACTGTGATGTTACAAGAGGGATAATCAGATGGTAGAAGAGGGGATGATTAGATGGCAGAAGAGGGGATAATCAGATGGTACAACAAGAGGGATAATCGTATTGTAGAAGAGGGATAATTAGATGGTAGAAGAAGGGATTATCAGATGGAGATAATCGGTTCATCTAGAAGACTACTAAGAACAGTATTAAACACATAATTGGAGTTTGACGACTTGATTGAGAAACTACAGGGGGCGAAGCCCCTATATATTAGATAATATACTAATATGTTAATAGAGTATTAAGGAGGAATTTAATAATGAATTACCATTAACGTACATGTATAACGAACCGGCCAAACAAGCGAACCGGCCAATCCATTTTACACCTTAAATCACGAATTTCATAACTTAATATCTCAACAACCCTTTAATAATAAGTTATAAAAATATGTACTTAGCCTTTTATAAGCATTTAAAGTACTCTATTTGATTTTTAAAGCAATTAGTATTGTAGTTATTAAGATATTGAGTTTTAGCCCCCACTATTGACCTAATTCTTAGTATCTTAATAACTACAATACTAATTGCTTTAAAAATCAAATAGAGTACTTTAAATGCTTATAAAAGGCTAAGTACATATTTTTATAACTTATTATTAAAGGGTTGTTGAGATATTAAGTTATGAAATTCATGATTTAAGGTGTAAAATGGATTGGCCGGTTCACTTGTTTGGCCGGTTCGTTATACATGTACGTTAACACAACAACAACTACAACAACAGCAAGAGAATGAAGAAGATAATTTATTAGATGATTTTGAAAGATCATTATAGTCTCAGAATATAGAAGAAACAGAAACTTCTATCTATTTCCAAGAACCTATTTCTCATTATAAGGTAAGCTATTAACGTGCATGTATAATGAAAGTGCCAAACAAGCGAAAGTGCCAAAATCATGCGGTGACCAACCCCCCCAACTAAATGTTAAATTCCTCCACAACAAAACATGCGCCATAAAAATGATGAAAGCAAATTAGTGCTAGCTATCCAAGCTATGCAAAGCGACCCAAATTTGCGCCTTCGAGTTGCAGCTAGGATCTATTCCGTAGACCACCGCAAGCTACGTCACCATTTACAAGGCGTACCTTCACGACGCGATATCCAAGCCAACTTACGGAAATTAAGTAACCTAGAGGAATCAGTTCTTGTTCAGTATATACTTGACTTAGCTGCTAAAGGGTTCCCTCCTCAGTTGTCTATTGTTGAAGATATGGCAAATCGACTACTTGCAACATGCGACGCGCCACGCGTTGGGTCACGTTGGGCTTCAAACTTTGTTAAGCGCCATGTAGAGCTCCGGACACGCTTCCAGCGAAAATACGACTACCAGAGGGCTAAGTGCGAAGATCCAGAAGTCATTCGTGGCTGGTTTGAGCTTGTATGGAACACAATTCTAAAGTATGGCATCAACAATGCAGATATCTACAACTTTGATGAGACTGGGTTTATGATGGGCGTCATCTCAAGCGCAACGGTAGTAACGAGCTCAGATGGGCGGGCAAAGGCAAAAAAGGTGCAGCCTGGCAATCGGGAATGGGTTACAGTAATCCAAGGCGTTAGTTCTCAAGGTTGGGCAGTGCCGCCATTTGTCATTGTGGCAGGTAAAAACCACCTTGCATCTTGGTATGAGAATAGCGGATTTCCAGCAGATTGGGTAATCGCTGTTACTGCAAATGGCTGGACTACAAACGAGAGAGGTATGGATTGGATTCAGCATTTTGAGAAGCACACAAAGCCCCGGAGTGTTGGTGGTTATCGCTTGTTAGTCCTTGATGGTCATGAGAGCCACCACTCAGACAAGTTTGAGGAGTACTGCAAAGAACACAACATTATTACGCTTTGTATGCCTGCTCACTCTTCCCATATACTCCAACCACTTGATGTTGGCTGTTTTGGCCCATTAAAGAGAGCTTACGGTCGGCATGAAGATATGATGCGGGCTCATATTATTCACATTACTAAGGATGACTTCTTTCCTGCCTTCCACGCTGCATTTAACATTGCAATGACAGAAAGCAATATTCAGGGAGGGTTCCGAGGTGCTGGGCTTCTTCCATTTAGCCCTGAGAGTGTAATATCTACACTTGACCTTAGGTTTAAGACGCCAACACCTCCAACCTCTCGCCCAAACACCGCTCAACCATGGGTTTCTCAGACACCAAATAACCCAACTGAAGCTGTATCACAGTCTACTTTCATTAAAAACTGAATTGCGCATCATCAAAATAGCTCTCCAACCTCAATCTATGCAGCTGTTGACCAGTTTACAAAGGGTGCATCGCAAATAATGCATCAATTAGCATTGTTAAAAGCAGAGAACCAAAACCTGCGACAGGCAAATGAAGTGCTAAGCAAGCGCCGGAGAGCTAAAAAAACATGACTACAGCAAGGAGGATCACTTAGTCAACAGGTAGCACAGGAGCTACAGGACGAGAGGGACGTTGTGCAGCTAGTAGAGCAAGAAATAAGGGCAAGTAGTGGTTGGAAGCCAAGGGAAGAAACCCATGCACGTCGCTGTGGCAAGTGTGGTGAGACTGGACACAATGCGCGCACTTGTCAGATTGTAATAGACAGGTCTGAGGAAGAGGACTCCGAGTAGTTTTAATTAATTTATATTGTTGTGGTGGATTTATCGCAATTCTTATGGGGTAGTCGCGATATTTTGGCACTTTCGCTTGTTTGGCACTTTCGTTATACATGCACGTTAACCTTATTTAATAATTAACCTACTAATATTATATAGATTAATCCTTTAGACTATTAGAAAATAAATCAATCTAAATTTCCAATTCTATACTAGTGCTCCTATAGAGAGCTCTTTTAGTATAGGTAGCCTTATTATTTCAAAGACTAGAAATAGGCTTTTAAAAGACATTTTTAGAGTAATAGCTTGTTTAAAGAGTTGGGATTTTATAAAGGAAGAAGAGGATCTAGAAGAGGAATTTATAGCTAAATTAATACTTTAAGTAGTATTTAGATAGATTAATATATATTTAGTTTCCTTTTCTACTATGCTAGATAATTATTTAGGTGATGTACATGCAGTTAGGGGTAGTCGTAAGGAGGGGCAACCATCTAGGCGATGTTGTGGGACCTGTGGAAAAGCTGGTTATAATGCGCGAACTTGTTAAGAAGCTATAGATATGTCTAGTTCATCTGATTCCACTTAGTTATAGTTAATTTAATATGTTATGGTTTATTAATATTCAAAGTTGAATGCACCTCCTTTACAGACACGAGCCTTTTTAGCCCTACGGCGTTTGCTAAGGGCTTCATTAGCTGCTTGAAGGGTACGTACCTTAGTAGACAGAAGGGTGTTCTCATGTGCTAGTCGCTCTGTACCCTTTGCCAATGCAATAACTGTCCTGAAGATTGGGGTTGGCAAGCTTCCTTAGTGACGGGCAATTCAATTTTGAACAAGAGTTGTTTGTAAAAGAGCTTTAGTAGGAGTAGAAGGGGTCTAGGAGGCCAGTGGGTGGTCTAGAAGGAGTTGGAGTCCGTAACTTCACATCAAGCTTTGAAATCACAGCTTGCAGATCGAAAGGCACTAAGCCAGCTCTGTGAAACCCGGCCTAGGCGTTTTTGGGCTGTTATTGATTGTAGATATGCTGCTCTAAAGGCAAGAAAGAACTCGACCTTGGTAATGTGGTTGATATGAGCCTTAATGAAGGTCTCAATCTGCCAACCATATGCCTGCTTTAATACACTAAAGCACCTGACATCAAGTGGCTAGGTTAAATGAGACGAGTAGGGAGGTAGTCTAACAGTTATAATGTTGTGTGCCTTGGAGTACTCTTGGAACTCAGCCGATTCATAACTCTGATGCCCATCTAATACCAGCATTTGATATAGACCCCTGCACGAACAGCAGTATGTTTGTCGAAGTGTTTTAACCATTCCAGTCCCGTCTCATTATTCGTCCATCCATTGCTTGTCGGTTTAACTACCCAGTTGTGTGGAAGGCCGCCGTCTGTATACTAATTTGCAAGACGATTCTTGCCTTTAACTACCAAAAATGGAGGAATACTCTAGCCTTCACTGTTAATACAAGCAATTGCAGTAGCCCATTCCCGGTTCCCCAGCTAAACTGCCTTGCCTCTGCCAAGTCGATCTGCACAGGTTACAACCATTGCAGGGCAAATTATACCCATCATAAACCCAGTTTCGTCGAAGTTATAGAAGTCGCAGTCCAAAACACCATATTTTGCCCTCATATTTTCCACTAGTCGAAACCACGTGCCAATTAGCTCAGGATCTTCGCATAAGACCCCTTGAAAATCGTAAATGTGATTAAAACGCGTATTTAATTCTAGGCGTTGTTGTACAAATCGGTAGGCCCAGAGCTTCCCGACGCGCTTCCCTCCGCGTGATTCGAGAATAAAATTTGCCAAATCTCCTACACCAGCAAGCCGGGGTGCAAATCCTCTTGAATCCATATCAAGTATATTCCGAATAACCACCTCCTCCTCTAGCATAGTTAATTTCGTCATTGCAGGCCGGCGTTCGTAGATAGTAGTTCGGCCGTTCATTCTGTCACAGAGTGTAGAATGAGGTACTTCATAGAGCTTAGCAGCCTTCCGACGACTTAGATTTTCTGATGTTCGGATAGCCTCGATAGCTAGAATAATTTTTGCTTCTTGGCTAATTACTGACATAATAAAAGGTGGAAAAAACGCGTTGTGAAGTGAGGGTAGGAAATTCGGTAAAAGTGTCCGAGGTACTGATATGTCCGACGTACTGATAAACCACGTTAGTCATGATTATTATGATTATTTGTGCTAACCCTGGGTGATGGTGATGGTGATGGGAAGCGTGGAGGTACGAGGAGGGGAAATGAATGGGCTACCTATATTTTTGAATGGGGTCGGTCACTCATCGCGATGACTCGATGCGCTCACAGCTACCAAAAAAAAATGTAATTTTCCCATCTCACGGAGGATATAATACGCTACAGCGCCCCTTCTCCATCCATCACCATCTATCACATCCCTAACTAACAACCCCCTCCCTCTCTCCCTTCGCACACCTCCTCTGGCTCATCTACGCCATCAGTAATCCTACATAACCTCCCCCCATATCTCCGCCCTCACCCACCAGGAAATAGATAAGAGACGCAGGAGGTGACAACCTTCCCCAGATAGACTGTCAATACAAAAACACACCCCCCTAAAATGCACCACGCTCCCGTCCCACGAAACAAAACGCCCAAGCTAAGTATATGTATCCCACACCCATGAAAAAACGAAACAGGAAAAAAAAGAGACGAAGGCAGGTAGAATGGCTCCGACGCAGCGCAGCGCAAAGGTAAAGAAACCACACAGTGCGTTTCCTCCCCACCCCCACCCATCAGCGCGTCGCTCCCCTACTCCTCTTCCCTAATAGTAGCGCTCGTAGTGACCGCCTCACGCGCAGCGCCCATCCGGCTCTTCTTGCCCTTCCCCTTCCCGCCGCCGCCGCCACCCTTCTTCGGCGGCGCGTCCTTCTGCACCTCCTGCGCCGAGAAATCCTTCCACTTGCGCCAGCCGTCGAAATCGATCAGGGCCTGCATGCAGCCCCATTCCATGACCTTGCGCTCGAGCCAGACAAAGTTAACAGGCTAGTAGAGGGAGTTAGTATTTCTCTTTCAAGTCATTTTCCAACGGTGGAGGGGAAGGGGAAAGAAGCGTACCTTGGTCAAGAAATCGTTACACCCCGACGCCAAAGCCTCGTGACGATCACTCTGCAGCGAGCTCGCCGTGAGCGCCACGATGATGACGGGGCTCTTAAACAGGATGGGCGTCGGCAATTTATCCTCTCCCTCCGGCTCCTCGGGCTCCTCGGGCGCGGTGCTCGACGCCGACGAGAAGACGCCGATGCCGTTGAGGCGCTCGAGGCGGCGGATCTCGCGCGTGGCTTCGAGCCCGTTCATCACGGGGAGCTGGATGTCCATTAGGACTAGATGGAAGCCGCCTTGGCGCCACTTGGTCATGGCGTCCTTGCCGTCCATGGCGGTTTGCCAGCGCACCTTGAGGCGCTTCATGAAGGCTTCGAGGAGCTTCAGGTTGATGATGTTATCTTCGACGATCAGGACGTTGATGGGTGGGACGCTGGCGCCGTTGAGCATCCCTCCGGGCATGGAGGGTAGGTTCCTCATGAGTCTCTTTGGTTTCTTCGGTCTGGAGCTAGGGGCAGGTGACGAATCCCGGGGTGGTGGAGCCACGATACCTGGAGCAATTGCTTCGATTTCCGGTGGAGTCGGCGGTTTCGGAGTAGGGGGTGTCTTGGAATGCTCTGCCAGCACCGGATGAGCCCTCGACCTCACCCCATGAGGCGAAGCGGTCCGACCACTGGCTGCAGCAGACACTGGAGTCTGCTGCCCGCTGATAACGGGAGGAGAGCTCGTCACGCGAGAAACTCGCGGCCTGGCGGCATATTTCCTCCCAGGTGATGGCAGGTTCGGGGCATGTCCGGTGCCGAGGACAGACATGGAATGCGGGATGCTCGAGCTAGCTAATACCGGCATCGAGACGCCGTTCTGATGGTGGGGGGACGGAACGAGCGTAACTGGCATAGGTGGGAAGTAGTCTGTCCCAGACTCACTAGGCCGTAGTTCGTCGTGATAGTATAATGTGGCCCTTGGGGACTGTCGCGGAGTCGGCCTGACCGGGACATCGATAATTAAAGCTTCGTGTACGGTTTGGCCACCAGGAAAGTTCGCGGCGATCGTCCTCGATATCGGTTCCTCAGGCCCAAGGATCCTTTCATGGCGATGCTCACGACCATGGTCTCTCAAATGGTCCCTCGCATGGTCTCCCCTAAAGCAAATCTTCAGCGTAACGTCCGGCGCGTCGAAATTCCTCCCCAGCGAATTCGCGTATTTCCTCAAAATCATATCCCGCACATCATCCACGAGGTCGTCCTCATTTATAGTAACGAGCGTCGCCGACGAATTGGGCCGCTTGACCCAGATCTTACTGATCAACATGCTGCCGTTGATAGTCGACAGCCTACTCGCGCTGCCCTGCTCTCCCCTTCCCGACTCCAAGTTCGCCGCTTTCCCGATCTCGAGGAGCGTCTGGATCAGCGCCGTCTGCTGCGTCGGCAGGAGCGATTGGCGCCGCTCGCTCTCTCGCGGTTGCGAGCCTCCAGAGGGATTCACCGGCATCTGTATTCCATTTCCAGGCTCCAGGTCGTCGATGGGGTCGTCTGCGCCGCGATTCTCGAGCTGCTGCAGTTCCGGGTGTGTTCCTGGCTCTTGCTTTCGACCAGTTCAGGGTTGCTTTCTAGCTCGGGGCTTTCCGACTCTGGATCCTCTGTATATGGATGCGCTTTTATCTCTCCTCCTGCTCTGGCGGTGTACGGTGCGGTAGTTGGCTGTGAAGACGGCAGCGCAGTCGACGACTCATTGTCGAGGTCGTGGTCGTCGAGATTCGCCGGGCGGACCACCCTGGGTGTGGCACGGGCTCCACACCCCGATAGCGTGGAACGGATTCCAGACTAACGTTACTGCCGTAACTACTCGCTGGAACGTCTGGGGTGGAACGTCTGGGGATCCGCAGAGCCCGCATTTTGTCCCTGGGTCAGGATTTCTACTAAATTCAAAGAGCCGATTTTTGTAACCCCGTTGCGAGTAGGTACGAGAGAGTTCTTGGCTCGAGGACGTAAGTATGCTGAACCACTACAGTCCATTGATCGAGTGGCAAGTCACAGTGCTGTGCATGCATCCCGGGGGGGGGGGGGGGGATGGTAGAACAGCAGGCAAGAGCATCACAATAGGACGAAAACATGTATGGTCAACGACTGCATTCTTGCAAATCCAAGACTTTGTCTACTCCCCATCCATCACCTTTCCCTTTCATATCCACCTCCTAACCCACCTCCATGCCCAAAGCATGCCCATCACCCATCCAAAAACATTACCCCCCACCCTCAACTCATCCCCTCACGCTCGCCCAAAAAATCCCCAGTCGAAACGAATGTGAACCAGAAATCCAGCTCAAGCAATTTCGTAGGTATCGTATCTGTCTAAACCCCAAAAAAAAATCTTTCTCTCTCTAAAAAAAACGCCTTTCCCAGCGGCGCGTATAACACCTCTCAACGATAAAAGGTCTCCGCAGCAGCGCAGATAGTGATGTTTCGCCTTACATACACGATATAATCTCCCCGTACCCAACACGCGCCATGCAAAAAAACGCTCATAATACACGGAATGTTCGTTTCGCGCCGTCAGCTGTCTCCACCGTGGTAAATGGTGTAAAAGAGAACCGAACAACAGACGCTCCTCCCCCCATCCATCCCAATAGACCCATCAGGGCAAGCCAAGCCTACATGACCGTGCTCCCAGGTAACCTCACGAAGCGGTGACCCGTGTGGTTCGTAGGCGGGAGATGATTATGCTGCACGACCCTCGCGCGGCTATTCCCCGCATACCCGCTACTGGTCGCCTTACTGGCATCGATGACGGTGCTAGGGTCCTCATACGTGTCGACCTGGCAGCACTCGATGTTGCGCAGCCAGCGGTTGCGCGCAACGTCCGCCATCTTGATGCGCTTCGCCGGGTCGGGGTGCAGCATCGCGATGAGCATGCGGCGCAGGGCGGGCGGGTTGACCATTTGGTCGAAGGCGACGACGTGGGGATAGTCGAGCTCTGTGATGGTCGCGCCGGGGGGGTGCTTCGCTTCCCATTTCTCCCACCCGCGGACGAGGGAGTCGTAGTGTCTGTTTCCGCACTCGGCGCGCGGCCAGAGTGCGCCGCCGAAGATGACGTGGAGCATGACGATGCCGCTGCTCCAGACGTCGAGACCGCGGGGGTCGTATTCGCCTGGGTTGATGTTAAGATTTTGCTTGGGCGTTTGGAATCGGGGAGGGGGAGTCGGCGGCTTACCATTCTTAACTACGACTTCCGGAGCGATGTACGGCATGCTCCCACAGATCCCAGGGGCGCACAACCGCACCTCGCCCATTTCTTTTCCGCAATGCCCGCCGGCTTCGCGGAGGCCGGGGTGGATGCCCGAGAAGACCTCCGAGACACCGAAGTCGGTGATCTTGATCTTGCTCGTGCTGGTCACGAGGAGGTTTTCCAGCTTGATGTCGCGATGCGCGATGCCGTGCTCGTGGAGGTAGTTGACGCCCTGCACGAGCTGCTTGAAGATGCAGAGTCGGTCGTTGAGGCGGTCGGGGCCGGTGAGGTAGTTCTTCTGCACGAGACTGAAGAGGTCGCCTTCTTGGCAGTATTCCATCACATGATTCCATCGCCCGTTATGCGTGCAGAGGCGTATGCTCTCTACGATATTCGGGTGATGCAGGCTCTTCGCGATGCTGAATTCCGACTTGACCTTCTTCTCGTATTCCTCTTCCACCTCGCCCGTTCGCTTGCCGCGAAATTCCTTGACGGCATGCAGCTCCGACCCGCCCTTGCGCGTCATTAGTGTAACTTTCGAGGTCGCACCCTTACCGAGCGTCTTGCCACGTCGGCCAATGAGTTTGCTCTGGTCGGAAAATTCGTTGTGCAGGTCCACCACGTCAACCCAGAAGTCGTCTGGCAGACTCAGACTCATGCGCCTTGCCTTCAGGCCCGTTCCGGCCTCGGCAGGGAAACCCCACTCGTGTCTCGTGAGCTCAGGCTCTTTTAATTTCGAGCTTTGTGTGGTACTACGCAGATCTACTACGCTGGTCGCTCTCGGCCTGGGAGCTGGCTCCTTCAGGTCCTTTGGCCCGGCAAACGTTATGAATCTCTGGCGGAACCCGATGCCACTAGAGGCGCGGGGTTTCTTGCACAGAAACTGCGAAGCGTGGGGCTCGAGCATGGTCGTCTTATTGTCTTGCGGCGTACTCGACGGTGACGGCGGGGAATTCGAGCGAGTTGTATCCGACGACTCGACCACCGAGACACGGCGTGCGCCGGAGTTGCGTTGAAATAACATTGTGTCTGATCCCCCACGAGACTGACTCGGAGAAGGGTCTTCGATCGCGGATGTGCCGGAAGGCGCTGCGGGGTATTGTGAGTGGGGATTTGAGCGACGGAAGAATTGCGAGAGGCCACGCTTAATACCGGAGTCGACGGCGGATGTAGGCCGCTGTGGCGACGCATATAGAGATTCTTCGACAGAGGCACGTTGCTCTCGATTCCTGTCTGACGGAGACTTCGGCGGCGGTGTGGCGGCCGTGTTGACGAGCAGTGGCGGCTTCCCTACATTTGAGAAGGCCTCTTGTGAAGTGTCGTATTTCAGGTCGTCAGGAGGGGTATGGCGGAAGTCGTGTGGTGGTTGTGTGTCAGTCGGAGTCAAGGGTTCGTTGGCGGCCTCGCTGCCGGTCTCGTCCTCTTCCTCCTCTTCTTCGGGAATTGGACTTTGTAGGTCTATAGGACGGCTGTCGGGCGACTGTTCTCTGCTTTGTGCTGGTGGCGTGGAGCCTATCTGGAATAGTGGTGATGGTGGCGTGGAGCCTATCTGGAATAATGGTGATCTATGTCTGGACGAGGTATCATTCGGAGTACTCGAGGGCAAGTTTTCCGTCTGGGGCATCCTGACGACCTGGACTGACGACATTTCCGATGGTAGGATCCTCCGGGCCAATGGTCGACTGGAATGGCCGGTCAATGGTGACGGCTTTATATTAGTCCTTGGTTAAGGACGGAAGAGTCGGTTCGGGAGAGACCGATTACCCGCGATTGGACTGGGACGGGGAGGAACCAAAGTTGGCGGAGAGCGAGGTGAGCCGATTTCCGAACCGCAGTTACGGCACACACGGTGGATATAGATTCGTGTGAGCAGAATATAACCTCCACCACCCCGGAACCACGATGAGGGATTTTTCAGGATAGGAATTGACGAGATTATCCATTAAAGCACCTGTGGTGTCTGCTGTGTCTGGACAATACCCATGGAGGGTTGCCTGTCGGTGGTCGAGTTTAGTTGCAATGCGTTTGAGGGGGGAGTCGAGGCTAAAGTCGAGGCCAAAGTCGAGTTGGAGGTGGGAGGTGGAGGTGGCCGATTGGTGATTGAACAAGTCTATATCTTCGATATAGAGTAGAGTGGGTTCTCAGGTTGTAAGTGAAGGAAGAGTTGTTCTGCAGAGGTAGTTGAGAATGAGGTGGTGGAGATTATTAAAGAGAGAGGAGTTGGATGCATGGAGCAGTCTATTTGAGAATAAGGGGAGATTCCAATCCCAAAGAACCCAAGCCTAAGTTGGGGGGGGAAGGGGGGGGAAGGGGGGGGAAGGGGGGGGGAGGTTATTGAATTGGGGAGGGGGGGGGTGTGAATGTATGAGAGATATGTATGAGAGATATGTATGAGAGATATGTATGAGGGTTGTATGTAGTAGGATGGAGGTCGGTATGTAGTAGTATGGAGGGTGGAGCGTGGGGTGTGTTGGTGGTTGTTGGTGGTTGTTGGTGGTTGTTGGTGGTTGTTGGTGGTTGTTGGTGGTTGTTGGTGGTTGGTGGTGGTTGGTGGTGGTTGGTGGTGGTTGGTGGTGGTTGGTGGTGGTTTGTAGTGGTTTGGTGGTGGTGGTTTGGTGGCGGTTTGGTGGCGGTTTGGAAGCGGTTTGGTGGTGGGGTGGTTTGGTGGCGGCTGGTTTGGTGGCGGGTGGTTTGGTGGCGGGTTTAGGGGTGTAGTGCTAGTTAGTGGAGTGGTGTGTGTGAGTGGTGCGTGGTATGTGGTATGTTATGTGAGTGGTGAGTGGTGAGTGGTGTGTGGTGTGTGGTGTGTGGTGTGTGGTGTGTGGTGTGTGGTGAGTGGTGTGTGGTGCGTGGTGCGTGGTGTCTGGTGTCTGGTGTCTGGTCTGGTGTCTGGTGTCTGGTATGTGTGGTATGTGTGTGTGGTGGTGTGGTGATGTGGCGGTGGTGGTAATAGTAGGAGTGGAGGGAGGGGTGGAGCCTCTCTCCGACTTTGCAAAAGTGGCCTGTGGAGTAGGCAAGTGGTGTAGTCGCATTTGTTGTTGTTTTTTCGCGACTCCGGCTTCCAGGATTTGGGCCAGTTGGGGCAACCTGGGACCCTTCTTGTCTCTTGTAGTATATAGCACTGCTGGACCGAGGTGCGGGGTAACTAGATCCGTATTTAGCGTATAGGATGATGTATGCTGTAGGTGTCTAGGTGTCTAGGTCTAGGTGTATCTGTAGGTGTCTAGGTGTCTAGGTGCCTAGGTGCCTAGGTCTGTGGTGTCGTAGGTGTCTGTAGGGGATGCAAAAAGAGGAAGAGGCAAGGCAGGAAGGCAAGGTATATATATCTCTCTCCCTCTATATATATACACACAAAGAATGTATCCATGCATGGACGTGCCAGTCTCAATTATACGTCTTGATTAATTACACTCCGACTTTCTACTACTCTACTCGCCTACAGTCCACCAAGTACGGACTCGACAAGTCCGTCCCAGGTACCCTGTACGAAAAAAAGTGATGGTGGAGCAACAAGATCCGAGTTGCCGTTAAACATTGGCATTGGTTGCATTGGCATTGGTTGACATGACCTGACGGCACTACTTTAGCATCACTAAAGTATGTAGTGCCGTCAGGTCATGTCAAGGGCGGCGTCGATACTTGGAGTGCTTGGATCAATACAACAAATACGTACGTAGGGATGATGGAAAGATTGGGGGGTCAACGCGCAGCGTATCCATCAGCTAAACCACGCCAAAGTAGCCAGTACCCGCCAGGGAACACCACCACTTGTCGCCACGGCTGCCACAGCTGCGTGCTGGGCGCTGCGCTATGTGACAAATGCCACCATACTTGGCATCTGTGGTGATCTCTTGGGCCTGGGACGGACCTTTTGATAAGGGGGGCTGGTGGCCGACGGGGCCGACGGCAGGACGGCGAGGCAGAAACGACGGCTGCGACGACGACGGCAGGACGGCGAGGCAGAAACGACGGCTGCGACGACGACGGCGACGACGACGGCAGGACGGCGAGGCAGAAACGACGGCGGCGACGACGAGCAATGCACCAAGTAAGGGGAAAGAGCGACGCCGAGAGTAAACGGTTGAGGGGGGAATGTTACGCATGATGGCTTGGCAGATGGCTCTGAATGGCTCCGTATGGTTCGGTGTTGCTCTGTATGGCTCTGTATGGCTTGATCTCCTCGAGATCTTCCCCCCCCAACACACACCCACACCACACCCCAAAAACCCAAAAACCCAAAAGCCAAGAAGTTGATCGCTGGGGTTGATGACGACTCTGTGGCGACCGAGACGGCCGGGAACGGATCGTCGTCCATACTTGGCGCGCATCCACCCGTCTTCGCCTCCTTTTTGCCAAATCACAAATAAGACAAGTGAAGACATTGTTGGGATTTGAGAGTTGAGATGTGGTGATTAACGAGGCGGTTCAGACCTATTCAGAGCTGCTCAGAGGCTGCTCGCATTCATTATCAGTAGCACCCGAAACAACGTTACGAGTATGTTTAACCAAGCACTTGGCGGCAATTTTACTTTCTTGGTTTGAATCGCACAGCCTCTCTTGTGTTTCTCATGCCGCCACCATCAACGGCGGAAATGAAGCTGGAAACGGGACGAGACAGCAAGGAGAACGGGAATGGAGGGGAGTATGATCCATCCTCGTACCCCCCCCTTACCTTCCCCCGTTGGTCATTCCACTGTCTACTGAAGACATGGGCGCCGACCCCTGTGGGACGAGAGATACGCACTGTCGCTCCCATCTCATTAGTAAATTCACGGACAACGGCACATATCTGCTGGAGAACAGTCAGTAATCAAGTAATTTCATGATGGACGCCCATTCCAGCCAGGAGTCGGCGCTTACAGCGTCTTTTGATGCCTTTTTCAGATCCGATAGATACACCCACCTCCCCCTACCATCCTACCATTTCCTATCTCACCCATGCTGATATGATAAACCTTGCTACCTTACATATATACGTGTGTAGGCCGCTCCATCCCGCTCCAAATCACCCATCACCGCATCACTCACTACCCCCCGATGCGCGCGTGTGCGTGTGCGTGTGCCAGCGCGGGCCACGATGACCTTCAAACCTCCCATCCCATCCCAGCTTCTTACCTCACCCTCCCTCCCGTCCCTCCCATCGCCATCTATATAATATGCGCCCGTCCATTGCAGGCCACCGCCGCCGTAGCGCTACAGCGTCCGTCCGCGTCGCTTCTATCAGGCGACACGGGTACCGGGTAGGTATGTACAGTACTGTACCCATAAGCGTGTCGCGGTCCGGAGTTCATCAACAGAAGGGCTTAGGGCAGCGAAGGGGGCTGCGTCCCCCGTTCCCAGATCAGATGCCAAGGGGATCTCGTTTTAGATCCACGAGCGGATATGACCGGGAGTATCGGATTAGCATGCGTTTCCCTCGCACATGATTGCATGAGGGCGTGGGGGTCTCGCGGCGTCGCTCCGTTTTCTGACCCCCTCGGCATTCAGATTCGGGGCGCTGTGGTGGGTGAAGGGCGAACGTGTCTGGACCCGACGCCCGCCGCCCGCCACTGTAGATAGATACGTTTACCATATACGCGACGGTGCAGTTGCAGGATGCAGCTGGAGTGGAAGGGAAGCGACAAGGCCAACTACTCGTAACTCGTCAAAAAGTGTGAGGCATTTATGCCGTCGGATGCGTGTCGCAGGCTGAACTTCAACCGCACTTTCTTCATCGATCCCCCTCGGCCGCCCTGACACCTCTCCCATCCCCAGCAAAAGCACAGGATCGTGGACAGTCACATCCAGCGCCCATTTGCCTCCCCAATCAAGCTTTCCAAGCACCGCCCATCGCAGCCAAAGGGGCGGTGAGGTCCACGCCAGCTGGGATGCTGACGCACACAATCGACAAGGCTGGCTGACAACACAAGAATATAAACCTCCACCACACGCGAAATCGCGACGAGGGATTTTTTCGCTGCCTCAGGCCGCAGCCACCCCTGCACCCCACGCTTCCACGGTCGCAACGTCAAGCAACATATGTCGGTGCTATTCTGCTCGCTAGCACCGACATATGTAGCTCAACCTTTGTAAAAAGCTGTAAATGGGCTCTTATATGCTGTATTACCGTACCTTTACATACGTAGAAGCCTGTGTTCCGATTGTAGGTGCTGTATTACTTACTATAGGCTTCGCCGCGCTTTTGGTACCATCGAAGCTCTCCTATAAAGTTATAGTACTACTACTTAATTTAACACACGTTTTCTCCCACAACCACAAATGGAAATTTAAACCTAAGAAGCTCGAATCATTCTAGCTATCAAAGCTATTCGTTCATTAAAAAAAAATAGTCGTCGCTCTACTGCCAAAATCTACAAAGTCCTATACACGACACTATCTAATAGAATAGCCAGCTAAACACCTTGCGCTAAAACCAAAGCTAATTGTCATAAATTAACTAAACTAGAAGAGGAAGTGATTGTTTAGAACATATTAGATATGGACATAAGAGGGTTTGCACCTTAGCCGTCTAGTGTAGTAGATATGGCACATTATATACTTAATTCATAGAAGGGGAAATGTGTTAGGACATGATAGGCATATCAGTTTATATAATGTTGCCTAGAGCTAAACACACATTTTAATCGCGTTTATGACTTCTAAAGAGCCCTATGTAAAGATCCTAAGCTTATTATGTTACAGCTGTAGTAACGTGACTCACGGTTATAGGGCTAGGCAGTAGTAATGTGACTCATGATCACAAGGTTAGGTGTAATGCTAATAGGATGTACAGAGGTTTCTTATGTAAGGTTTAACTTGACAGAGGAGGCAGGGGATCAGACATGAAGGCTTCTAAGTAACACACTACAGTATTGTAAAGAATACTATGTTAAGTTGAGCATGAAGCTCCTATCTAAGGGAATACTATCTACTTATATAGTAGCGTCAAGCCTTATGGATAGTTTAGATAGTTACTAGATAGTTCAGATAGTTATATAGTTCTAACTATCCTAACTATCCAACTATGTAAGGATGCCTTCTCGTCTCTCATTCTAGGGAGTAGACTCCGGGTAGCCGCGGGGTCACGTGTGATCATTTGGGTGGGCTAACCGAGTCGGAACCAAGTCAGATGGGTTTCGGATACTTGAGAAAATCGACTCCCGGGGTTCCCCCATCATCTTTTTTGCATCCTTTGTAGTAGACCTATAGGATAGCATCCGTTTAGCCTCCGACTCCTCACCCCCACCCTGTATTATCGACGTACGCTGCGACTGGACTACATTATCAAGATTCGCCGACCACTGTTCATCATTCTCAT